GTTCGCTTCCCGTCCTCTATGATCCTTGAGGGTTTACTGACGCTGTCACGATCCTAGAAAGTCACCCTAGGAGACATCTTATGGATTATGTTGCAGAAGCTGACCTTACTCTTACCGTTTAGAAGCAAAAGGATTTAATTGGTGTGCATTATACACACCCTCATCTCAGTCAACGACAACCTCCCACCGCCAATTTACCTCTCTAGGCACCTCGGGTTACTGCCAAATCACAAAATTATAGGTCACAAGTTGGCACTACCGCACGAGGAGTACGCCTTTATTTATCTGAGGATAGGCCAGATCGCACAACGAACGCCAGACCCAATCAAGTCTAAAGTTCATTCCGACATCCGTCGATTCCTGTACCTCCTCGCGATCTGTCAGCTTGTTGAGTGACAGTAAAGCGGTGACCATTAGCTGAGTCAGAAAGTTTTCACTCATTAGTATTACACCTAGAGACAACGATCTATCAACTGTCTGTCTACGTTGATATCAAATTGTAATCCGTCGTTAAAGAGGCTGAAGATTTGCCTGTCTGACGCATCTCTTGATCCCTGATCCTGGCGACCCAGCAAAGCAACAGCCCTGGGAACCAGTTGCTTAACGACGGCCCGTTATTCGTTAGTCTACCCGGGTTGGTACATTTGAGTCTACTGAATTGACATCTTGAGCGGCTTGGTAAGTAAATCTCTATTTTCGTTTACCTTGTTCATAATTAGATATGGCAACCCTTCTGCAATTCTAGTGTTGCTAGTGGGTTTATGCCATCGACCCCTCGATTTAGGGTCGTGTTCCTATCTAAGATTTTTGGAACCCCCCTTGTTTTTGAACGTTCATTAGCCGCCAGTTTATCCCCAGATCGGATGTTGAAATTGCCTGGCAACCCTAGCCCAAATAAAAGGTCCCATCGGAACCACCCTATCCAATCTCCCTGATATGGAAATTTCTTTCGTATAGCAAGTCAGTTCGCTCGTTTTCTATCCCGACTAATCCCCTGTATATTCTCGATTATATCTATTTTCCCTTGTTCCCATCATTTACCAGTCCTATCACATATCTGAGTGAAAGGTTCTGCAACGCTTGTCCCCCATCTCATATTCTCGTGGAAAAAAAGGAAATAATACTATTTTGCCGAACCCCAGTACACTGGTCAGTTTCTGCACCCCTCCACCACCACAAATACCCATTACCTATTCCTTGTCGTCCCCCCATCCGCCTTGGGGAACCATGCATTTGTTCCCTCGACTTCTTTTGACAGCATCTGACTAGACAAGGCTGGCATGCATGAACTAATATGGCAGCACAGATCTAACCCCGGGGTCTGGCCACAACAGATAACTTGCAGAAACATTACGTCGCTTGCCTGGTCGATGCGCGCATCTATCTGCAAGATTTTGCAGGCATAGCAGAAACACGTACCTGACAGGCGATTTAACCTCATTGATACCGACGGAAAGGTTCAACCTTGCAAACCACCACGAAATAAACGTGGTATTCTGTCGAGAGCCGCGAACCAAAGCCCAACGCTCCGGTTTATCTGGCATCGGCACGTCACAACTTGTGCGGCACTACTACGACGATTGATTATTTACACATTCAGCCAAACCATTCTCGGCTTTCCTCTACCCGCCGGCTTATTATACCCAAGATACCTTGGTATGTACAATTATTTCAGTCTTTATTTTCAACGAGGACTACACGTGCATTGTTTTCCCTATGCCTACAACCTGTTTCCTATTTTCTCGATCCTGCCTATGGTCATGAATTTTTCACTCCACTTGCATAGCTCTTGTCATGTATCGCCCCCAACCTAAGAAGGCCTCCATATACCTCGGCAAGGCTCAGCTGAAGGATTTGCACAAATTTGCCATTCGCTACTGGATCTCGCTGAAAATATTTCTTATCGATACAATTGCTATTTTTAATCGTGATGTTTGTTTTGTTATGGTCATCAATGTTGTATCCACACATCACAGACCATAATATGCCACTAACCTTGACATAGAAAAGAAGCCGGCCACCCCATCATCGCATAGCGAACGTCCTATCTAGACCATCAAGTCTTATTACACCCGGCCTATGATCATTGAACGAATACATTAAGCATTAAACCGTGAGTGTACTCTGTTTTATTATACGAAATCACCGTCGAGCTCTGTCTGTGTATGTGGGCGCGCGCGCTCAGAAGTGCGACGTTTATCCTGGCTCGTTATTTAAAGCATGCGGGGAATTTCTTCCCTTGCTCATATGGCGTGGTGGTCTCTTGCTGTTGATCCACAGGCCCTCCCATGTTTTCAACGGCTGCACCAAAGCTGAGCCATGTGGAGAAGGCCAGATTATATCTAATTCATTGTTTGTTGCTTTGCTAATATGAGATATATGGCAGGACCGACAAAGAACTTTCAAATCCACTTAGAGTTGGCAACTCATTTGCCATGATTATGAAGATGGGTCGACAAGCGCCCAATACATACCTCAAAGAGGAGCCGCGTGCGGATTCGGTAAGTTCATGATTTATTTACGTTGTTATGGTTCTGTTTTGAAGCTCCGGGGCAAGTGCTACGACGCGGATGTAGATCTGCGGCTCGCAGATTCGACCGAGTCATCGCAGCTGTGCGACGTCTTCGGATGTTACAACGACACAGCCCAAGTTATTCCCCGCCAAGTATTATGAGAGACGCTTCGTCGCTACCAAAACGCGCCGAGTTTGAACTTTCGCGTTAGTATGCTCTGCCTATGCGTGGGGTTTCTTCGTTTCCAGAATATCGCGTGGTTCATCGCATGCTTGCCTACCTCTGAAAGATCAGTCCCTTGAAATCCAGGGAATTACAGGGGAGCTTCTTGTTTCACAAGTGACCAGGGGGCTTTTCTTCTGGAACAGGGCTTGTGCGGGTTGCCTTAGCGCCCCCGGCCGACACTTCAAGGATGGTGATGCTGGTCCTATCAAGCACCTCTCAGAGCTGACGTGCCCGTGATGCCCCCGCCCCCCAAGTGGATGCGGGGAGACAAAGATGCATTCTCTTAATTCACGATTTATCATTCTGCTGGTCCGTATGTGTTGCGCAGCACCCACACTGTCATGATCCTGATCGAAAAAGATGCTCTGGACCATTTAAGAATCCCCCCCTACACGCCCCGGATGTTTGATGGCGCAAGTGCCAAACAAGATTGAGAGAAACGGTCGCGAGAGCCCAGAGCCCATTTGGAGAGCATCTTTTCCATTTCGAGTTAAAGCCAGCAAAAAAAGTTCAGCGGGTTCAACGGACTCGAGTCCCTTCGAGATATCTTTTCAACGCTATGATCATTAGCGTTGCATGGCTGTAATGGTTGATTTTCTCCGGCTCAATTCCTACTTCCAACATGCATAACAAGTCTGGTTAGTGCTGTGGGCTTTTATCATACATTCGGACCAAAAACAGGAAAATGGCAAAAATAATATTCGACCGAAGTCGTACACGGTACTTCCCTTCATACACCACACGCAAGCTTGATGTACATACCTATACAAGTACTGTAGCTGTGTGGATGGTTCAAGCCTAACGGAGAGTGGGTGTTGGCCATCCAAGTGGACCCGATAGAATTCTCCAATAGCGAAGTGAGAAGGGCTTCAGCAATCGCCGCTGTCACCACACCACCATGATTCTGGCTTGAGGATGGGGATTCAGCAGAGGATACAGTACTTGTTAGGGGAAAAACTCTGGCGGCCGAGCTGCATAAGTTTCGCAGTCAAGTGACGGAAGAGGTTACCGGCTAGGAGAGTTTCCAGTGTGAGGATCTGCCAGCAGGTAGTACTATGCGTAGTACTGTAGGCCTCTGGTGGTCTGCTACTTGCTGGTCCGAACATAACATAGCATCGAGCAAGGGGCCATCTCAATGCCCTAGACGAGTTTCGTCGTGGGTGGTACTCTCGATAGGTACTCGTCTTTGCCGTGCAATTCGTCGCGATTACACGCAATTCTCGAGTACCTCGACCACGCCCCATACACACCGCCTTGCTCCCTGAGAAGCTCGCGAAGGGCTTGCCCCCTGTCGTTCTGGTTAGCCCCGGACATAGGATACCTCATCGGGTAGCCTAGCCCTGCTTGGCCGTGCCGCCATTGGCCACTTCATCTAAAAATGCAGCTGCCCCCTGCCCCCTGTCACGTTTCTTCCATGCGATGTCCCACATTCTCTGATCCATCCACGCCCACTACACCCTAACGCGAAATCTCCAACTTCTATTTCTCTTCTTTCAACATTTCATGCTTTGCCGCAGGCATCGCACGTCCTTCCTCTACCAAACTAAGCAGTCATATCGTCCCTGTTAATTATCCCGGAACGAGAGGCTTCTGGGACCTACACATTGATACATAACAGGCCCCATCCATACCTTGAGGCCCCAGTTTTACACCTACAGGTACACAGAAGTATCCTTACCTTGGTGTTTTCTTACCTTGCGATCTCACCTTACATAGCTCAAATATCGTTGGCCCTGCCATTTTTTCTCATCGTCGCATTCTGAACCCTCGCTCCGATCTCAAATCTCCTGTCGCTCTCTTTGTTTTCGTTAACCGTCCCCCCTGTCGGCCGTGTATACTTCTCTCAAAACTCTGTCCCGAACGTGTTCGAGGCATAGTAGTTGCTGAGTACCTTTCAAAAAGCCCAAATAGGCTTGAAGGAGAACCTAGTTGGTGAACTTTGAGACTTTCGGGTTCCGCTTCCGATTCCTATCCACTCCTCCCTTTTAGGAGCAAGCACCTGGTGGTGTCATTTCCTGGTACTGCAATTCTTTATCTCTTACGGTAGTATGCTTAGGGCCCCCCGGTCTTATAACCTATACCTCCCCCCGTCGCTTAAGCAAGCCTCACCCGTTAACCCTCGTCATCTGGAGATGTTTAAGTTCCTTGGACCTTGACAGCGTCAAGTAAAATAAAAATTGCCGACGCGTCCTGCTTCATTCTTTTTTCTTTTTTCATGGTTGCTGTTACTATTTGGCTTCGACACTCGAGAGTTCAGGACTAATGGTTGTCTCCTCTATGCAGCATCATCCCCACCACTCGCAGGGTCCGGCGCCTCCCCAGCACCTACAGCATCCTCGGCCCTCGAGTATCGTTCATCAGCAACATCACCAAGCGCCGCCGCAGCAGTCGCAGCACCCTTCCGCGTACTCGTCTACTCATTCTATACAGCCCGCCTACCAACAAACAGGACACGCTCCCGCCGCACAACACGCGCAAGACCTGCCTTACTACGCTCACCAGAGCCCCTACAGCACTCCCGGTACGACGAGCGGATATACGTCCGCAGGTAAGTTCCCCCCCGTCGCGTCGCGCGCTTTGTTTTGGGGTCAATGTGTAAGCTTATACGCCGCTAGACACCTCCGACATGATGGCCGCAGCTCAGATGCCTCGACCCTATCCTCCAATGTCTTACCATACGCCTCAATCCAACTCTCCAGCTTCCGTCGCGTCGCCATCCGGTCACGATCAGCACCGAAGTATCTATGGCCAACCAACATCACAGCTTCAACCTCAATCGATGTACTATGGCGCGCAACAACCGCAATACTCATCTCTACCTCCGCAGGCACCTTCCCCGTACCAGCAGCACGCTCAGCAACCACACCAGCCCATGGCGTCGCAGCCGAATATGATGATGTCCCATACGGGACCGCAACACCAGATGACCCAGCACGCGAGCCAACACGCGCAACCAGGAATGACGGGAAGCCCGCGACATACCAAGATGGAGCCGCAGATGCCTTCGCAATTACAGCGACCTACGCCTGGACCGTTGGGGACGTCTCAGCAACCTCAAAATGGTGGTCAGCTATCAACCCCTACTGGCTCGTCGACGCCTGGCGTTAACAACAACAATGCGGCGCCGGGACCCATCCCGGCTACGACCCCGCTAGTTGTCAGGCAAGATAATAATGGTGTTCAATGGATTGCGTTCGAGTATTCTCGTGATCGGGTAAAGATGGAGTACACAATCCGTTGCGATGTCGAGTCTGTGAACACCGATGAGCTTGGCAGCGATTTCAAGACGGAGAATTGCGTCTACCCTCGAGCATGCTGCCCCAAGGACCAGTACCGCGGAAACCGATTGCAGTATGAGACGGAGTGTAACACCGTCGGATGGGCGCTGGCTCAGCTTAACCCGTGTCTCCGTGGCAAGAGGGGACTTATTCAGAGAGCGGTCGACAGCTGGCGCAACAGCAACCAGGACCCCCGACTGCGAAGTCGACGCGTTCGTCGAATGGCCAAGATGAACAATCGCAAGGCGGTTCAGACTCCCCACTCCGCGCACATGTCCGGTCCCAGTGGCCCGGCAGGGATGTCTACCCCCGGATCAATTGGCCCTGGCGGCGGTACGCCCATGGGGAAGCCTGGGATGAGTAACATGGGTCCGCAGATGCATCACCACCACGCCCACGAAGGAGGCGCCCAAGGCGGAGGAGATGAAGTCGGTATGTTTCACCAGATGTGATTCATGCGTTGTCGTTGTTGTCGTTGTTGTCGTTGTCGTTGCTGTTGTTGTCATTGTGCAATTATGTGATACCTCTTATACCTTGTGCCTGTTCGGTTATTAGGATCGGTTGCCATTCGTGTTTATATAACGGCGCAAAGCCGCTGGCGTTTTTGAGAGCACTAGGGGACTGGCACTATTCTGTACATTATCTAGTTGCCATTGCACTTGGTAGTCCTTGCTGCTTCGGGACGGTCTAGTCGTCTGTCTGGTAGCATAGGTTGGCATGGCTTGCTTTGCATCTCACTGCACAAACACACCAAGAGCACATATCACAGCCTCATGTCGTTGCCTCCTTGTATTGAAACCCTTCACGAAAAAAAATTGCAAATATTCGCGTCGCTTCGATTCTTTTGCTGCCCTAAATTTTACTAAATAAGCACCCCGACCCTGGTCTAGTCCGCTAATTCGACTATTTAAATAGGGGATGGAGAGTATGTGGATGGATCTCATCATCACCACCATCAAGCTCCTACGGGGCCAGGATCTAGAAACTCGGCCGACGTGCGCCCAGCTCAAGTATTTACCGGTTACCCCCAACAATACCCTAGTCACTCCGCCTCGGAATCGTCCATGCCACCGATGCATGACGGTCTTGGCGGTTCCCACCATAATACTATCGTAGCTCGACGTACGGGACGGGAAGATGAAGATGATGATAAAAATCCGGAAGGCCTATTCCCTGACTTGCCGGACGCTAAGAAGCGAAAGTTCATTCTCGTCGAAGATAACAAACGTAATGCTCGCTTGCGAGTACGTGTCATGCTCGAAGATGTGAACCCTAAGGAGATTCCTGATTCATTTCGCAAGAGCTCTGCCGTCTTCCCGCGTAGCTATTTCCCGCGGGAGATGCAGAGTCCGCCCCCTAGTGCCACGGGAAGCCAATTCTTTCAGGACGACTTGAGCGACGATAATGTTGAAGTCGACGGTCGGCGAGTCGGACGCCCTCGAAGGGATGCTATGAGGGAGCGCGTCATGGTGAAGGCACCCATGTCCGATGGCAACGAAGCCGAAGTTGCTATCCCGAGAATCAGAAGAGGTTCGCGCATAAAGGAAGTGCGACTGAACGACCTGGCCTACCGCATGGCGTGGATGCATAGTCGTGTCTTTGCTGGAAGAACTGTTTTTCTCCAGCGAGCGCGTAAGTTTGACCATTGGTCTCTTCGCTTTGTCGTGATCTTGTTACTGACTTTGTTGTAGTCGACTGCTATCGGAATAAGACCTGCACCTCGATCGAAGGCGCCACCCAAGACGTAAGGACCACGGTGCCGCATTACGAAACAAGAGTCGGCAAGAGAAGATGGGGTGAACGTGAACGCCGCGGCGAAAAGCGTGACGAAGAGCCCTAGTTCGATCTATCTTGCTTCATATCATTCTATGTAAATGATATCCCACTAACATCTTGCTGCTGCTCGCCACCGTTCGTCTCGACTTTATTTTATTCTATACTCCGACGAGTCGCGCGCTCTTGTGGGAGTTTTCTATTTCGTCGCCGGGCGCATAAAATAATGGCCTCTTCGCACATACGCTGCGTCCCGCGCTTGTATTATATTCGCGCTTTATAGAGTCATCAGAAAGAAAAGTCAATAACGATATACGACCGGTTTATCTCGTCTCGTCCAGTTCGATCCGCTATTTATTTCGCCGTGATTCTGATTTGATGCGATTTTTCCTACTTCACCTTTTCGGTCATGCTTTTTGATATTCCCGGATACATCTTCTCTCGAGGATTGGAATCTTGATGTCTTGTTATGACGATGTTCTATCTCACCATCTATATCACGTGGTATCGGTTTCTTTTTGTCTGTCAGGTGCGACTTATTCCTAGAAGTTAGTCAAGATAATGGGCTAGCTACATAGGTAGAATATTTTACAACATGGTCGGATTCGCTTCTGCATACACGGCTTTTCCTACGGAAACTACTTTACAGGATAGAGGAGTTTTACGTATACTTTCTACACTGGCGGTTATTGGGTAAAAACCTGGAAAAGGAGAAAAAAGAAAGGATGGATAGGGATATACGGCTTGGGCTTGGTGCAGGCAAGAAATTGTTCATAGGGGATATACCAAATTTTATTTATATTTTGTTTTTTTCCGTGGTTATAACAGGTACTAAAGGGGGGAAAGAGGGCAAGGGAATCGATTGGCACACATCAGTCAAGTGGGAAGGGAGATGGGTTTCGGGCTTCCAGACACACTACGGTTTATCACACGGGAGAGGAGAGCATATTAGAGTGTGGTAATATCAATGACGTTGTCGGTTGGTATTCGTGTCTTCATTCACACCGAGGTATAATACGATACATATAGGACATCACAAGTACTATTTTTCCATTGACCAAGTATATGCAGAAAGCGCGTTTAAATGTAAATTGGCCGCCGCGTTCGTATAAGCATGTCATGACGTCGCCTTAAAGTTTAGGTTTAAGTTCATAGAAGCGTTCAAACCGTGTACGGGAATAGGGGGTCGACTTTGCCAACGGCTGGCTAGTTACCTATTTGACTTTCTGTTTCTCCGCCACCGCTTACGGAACGTCATTTTTTTTTTTATGTCAACACACGATGGTGGAATGGACTGCGAGGCGAGTCGTATGACATAGTCTGCTTTCAATACTTATGATATGTGATGAGAGTTATCAAGTACATATCTCTGGCTGGGCGCCATGCAACTTCTTCTATCATAACCATCAGATCTTTGAAGCTTACTTCTTTGCCACTCGGTGAAAAAGATTTAAAAAAAAAATTAAAAAAAATTCGAGAAGTATAAACTTATCAATACATCTTGTGTAGGTACCCATACAAGCCAAACCGGAAATAGCCCCCTATTCCCCCTATTTCGAGAAACAACTTAGTATGCGCATAGAGTAGGTACCTACTTACTTACCTACACCCCTATTTGCGAGATTCATGCAAGCTACATCAAACACACACACACGCCCATCCATCTGCCACGTTAATATTCCCATCCTGCCGTCTCCCTTCCACGACCTTGCCAATACACGCAGATAAGAAAAAAACAAAGGGGGACGATGCGCGAGTATCCGTGTTACCCGTTACCCGTCCGCCGCGCACCGGCCCGCTAGGGGAATGCGGGTAGCCGCTTTTTTTCTGCTCGTCCTCCTCGTGTCCGTGTCCGTGCCGCGGTCTAGGGGTGAGTTTAGTCGTACAAATCGACTATGAGACACCTAGCTTTCTCATGACCGGGTTAATGGTACGGCTAAGTTGCTTATTCATATCGAAATTGCCTAGGTAAAGATCGAAGATATGCTAGATTGTATAGGGCGTTAGCTTAGCAAGAATAGAAACCAACCTCTTTTCACAAACGTTTCCACAATAGTTAAATCATAAGTAAAAAACTTTCTACCTCACGAGCCGGCTACCATCAACAGGTAGGCACAATCAAGTCTTCACCCTCTAGCTTTCACTCGCACATGGTCAGGGAACTAGTCAGGTATCATAAAACAAGGGTGGATAAGATATAATAGAAGGGAAGAAATCTACGGGGTATATCTAAGTCGTTCGTATCGTATCCATATCCATATCCATCTCTTCCTCTTTCATTTTCTTCGTAAAATCCGTAGGGTATCTGACCTTTTGACGATGACATTGCCGACAGACGGGGATGAATGAACAAAGGGAAGTAGACAAGACGTGAAGAGGGTGAACAAAACGGGGGTGGGTAGGGGAGCAAAAAAAGCGATGGACTGTACATGACATCTCTAAACAATAAACCCTCGTAATTCCATCATCCTAACGAGAAAATTCCAAGTCCCAAATTTTCCCAGTACATGCTATACAGGCTCCATAATGCTCCTTTCTTTCGATTCCAGCTCCATATACACTCCCCTATACACCCATCCTACAAGCTTTACCATACCATCCCGTCCCATGTCTGCCGACGAGATGCTTTACCTCAGCAACATGTATGTATACATGAAACGAATGAACAAACATATCAACAGATCATATAAACCACGTACACCCTAGATATCCCATAAAAATAAAATAAAAATGACACCAGAATACCGGGCACGGCAGCTTATCGCCTGTCGTCCGACGTAGTGATGGAATCGTAATCGCGGTCACGAAGGGGTCTGTGATGACGGACTGCGTCGCGTCGGCCGGTACCCGAAGTCTCGTATTCGAGGGCGCGAGTGCCGCGTCCATCATCGTCTGAGTCATCATCGCGTCTATGTCTTCTATGACGCTCGCGGTCATCGTTTCGGCGATAATCACGATCATCATCATCATAGTCCCGACGGTGGCGACGATTTGGTCGCTTCTCCTCATCGTCGCGGCTATCATAGTCGTGACTGCTGCCCATATCCTTTTCGAGTTCTCTTCTCTTGTCGGCTAATATCTAGTCAGCAAACCATTTTTACCTTCGATGGATAAAGGGGCTCAGGATTGAAACGTACCTCTAATCTGCGCCGTCGCAGTAGCATAAGCCTGTATCTCCTCCTTGTTCAAGACCCTCAGCACGATAACGAAGTCGTCGCGCACCTCGAAGCGCTCCTTTCCGGCCTCTAAGGCGGCGGGGTTGATCAGCTTGCGGTTGATCTTGGTCCAGCGTGCGCCTGGCGGGACACCCTTCTTGGTCTTGTCGTCCTTGTGCGGCGCGACGCCCTCCCGGATCGGGTTCTCTTCCTCGGGGAATTTGGCGCTAGGCGGCTTAAGAATGCCCTTGATGGGCTTCTGCTCCGACTTGTCGCGGGGGGGTGACACCACGCGGACTTGTTTTTCCGAAGCTGCGACTACTTCGCGACCCCGAGACTCTTCATGGGAGTCGGTCGACTGGCGCTCGCTAGAGGCGGAGGGGCTAGCCTCCTTGTTGTAAGTACGATCTCCGACAGGGGATTTCTCCTTTGGTTTCTCTTGACCATCCTTAGCAGCCAACTCGGCCTTGACGTCCAGTAGGTCGCTAGTATTGGTAGGGTCAAAGGTTGCAGAATTGTGCCCACGTCTGCGCGAAGTACCCTTACCATCGTCAGAGGGTGGCGAGCCGTCTCTCTCGTCCACTGCGGCTGACCCGTTGAGCACGGCCTCGGTATCTCGTCTAGTGCGCTCGGCGCGCTCACGAGAGCGCTCACGTTCTTTTTCGCGTTCGCGCTGTTCTAACTCGCGCTCCCGTTCCTTCTCCTGCTCTCTCTGATCACGGTCTCGTTCCCTCTCGCGATCAAGGGCGCGCTCACGAATACGCTCCCTCTCAAGCTCCCGATCCGTCTCACGGTCCCTGGAAGCCGACGTCGAGTCCGCCCGTTCTCTCCGAGACTCTCGTCGTTCCAAGGTGGCATCTTCTCTGGGAGAAGGCTTGCGTTCTACGCGCTCCACGACATCTCGCTCTCTAGGCTTGTGCCTATCACCACTGCGGGAGCTCGCCACCTCTGGTTCTTCATCGATAGCGTCCCGGCGACGCGGGGAGACTCTGCGTTCTTCATCTTTGGGTGATTCCTTGGGAGGGACCAGACCCATTGCAGCGGCGGCGACGCCTAAGCCAGCAGCGACCTTGTCGCGGGCTCGGCCGCCTAGGCTACCCTTACGGCTGAGGGTGTCTCTGGAATCTCTCGAGTCTCTAGAGTCTCGGCTCACTGTATCATCAACAGACTGTCGAATGTCGTGAGGGCGAGCGTAGTCGATAGACTCATCAGAGCGACGTCGCGGTTCGCGCTCCGCCGCTTCCCGGCGCACGCGCCGGTCATCATAGTCGCGCCGATCTACTGACCTTGCCGGGCGATCTGGTTGTTCTACTTTTAGGGAGTCTGTCCGGATACCAAATCCGCGCGCAGGGACCTCAGGATCGAGGTAAGAGTCGTCACGCTCCCGACGACGATGCAGACGCTCGTCATCATGAGAGCGGTAAAGATCGTCGGGATGAGACATGCGCGCCGGCGGATCCTGGTACAAAGATACAGGTCGTGGTCGTGTCACTCTACGCTCAGGAGATGGGTCCCTAGGCGGCGCCGCCTCAATCCAACGTTTAGGGTCGACGGGTGGTGCGGCCGGAACAGGAGGTGGAAGAGCTGGCATGGTGACGGTAGGACGATCGTAGATGCCCGCAGCGGTAGCTCTGTTGTAGCGCTCAAGTGCAGAGGATGCAGGTGGCGGACCACGACCGCGACCGGGGCCGGGAGCGTCGTAGCGGCCTGGGTCGTTACTCACGACGTTCACGGTCGGTCTGAAATAGTTGTTAGCAGGACGGTCAACGCTTTCCCGCCTGCGTCCACGAGGATGCTGGCGATCGTGGTCCAGATCGTATCTAGCCAGATCGCTAGGTTTCGTGTATTCGTAGCCTTCGTTCTCGTAGTCGATCACCGCCGTGGTATTGAGGTCATGTGATGGAGTCGCATAATTGGCATGAGGCAGGGAGTATCGGTAGTAGTCGGTCGCGGTGTGTACCGGGGCTCGTAGTCTATCGTCGATACCGCCAACTCGTTCTCTCAACCGTCTGATTTCATCATTGCTTAGCGTCGCGCTCTGGCTATAGCCATGGTTATATCGCTGGCCTCGCGAAGTGGAGGAGGCAGGTAGCGTATAATAGGTTTCATCGCTCGATCGGTAAGGGTCGCGTGACGGACTAGTCTGGCGAGCGGCAGATGACGTGTGGGAGGATGACCCGTGAGGTCGTGTGGCATGGTTAGTCGTAACTATGATAGGTTTTACCGCGCCCGAGTCTACCGTGGATGAGCGACGACGTGCGGTATTTGAAGTGCGCGGCGCTGGCTCTTTAGTAACGTTATAAGTTGTAATAGTGGTGGTTGGAGGAGTATTCGAAGAGGACGAGGCTTTATGCTCATTTACTCTCCGCGGGGCAGCAGCGTCATAGCGCGCCGTCGGTACCGCGTGAAGATCCCCGCTGAAATGAGGGTTGTAACCCACGCCGACAGGCAACGAGGCTCGCGCGGGGTTGGAAGTAGGCGACCTGCGACCCGAGTACCGGTATCGAGGCTCAGTCATATTGACGTTGGTTGGTGCGTTGATCAACTTGTCCACAATTTGAGAAATGACTCAAGCGATATTGATATTTCAATCTTTCTAGCGACCGATAACGATCACAATAGAGTCACCAAAAGTGTCTCAAAGTGTAAACTGAGGAAGAAGTCTTGGTGAGAGGAAGTGAGAAAATAAAATCAGGCAAATAGAAAGCAGGAAAGTCCGCGAAGACAGGGAAGTGGGACAGGTGGGATGTAATTATGTCCGGCTTATTTCTTAGTCCTGACAATATGACCAGGTTTCGTATAAGAAGGTCAGGTTTCCAGTTGGGGGCTGAATAGTTGGAAGTGTGAAAGGTCTTGTGGCCTTTTCTTTTCTCACACTTTTTTTTCACCCTCTTCGTATAATATTTTTGATCGAGTGATAAAAGATGGGTCGTTCTGCGACATATAAGTAAGCCATTGGGGAATTCCAAAAAATGAGCGCGGAGAATGTATAGTACATAGTACAAAGTGAATTTTTATAATGGCGACAACATTTTCCGGAGAATGGAAAGCCGAGTGGTGCCGCTTAAGAATATTGTAGTAAAGTAAAGAATTGCGTGAGGTACTTACCAAGAAGCGAAACCCTGGTCAAGAGGGACAGGCAAGAGACGAGGATATCAGGGTCCTATCGTGGGGTAGAAGCCATAGAACGGTTGAGAAAGGTTGTACTGCTACGAGTTTGTGTAGTCGGGTTGGGCTGCAGAGCAGGGAACCGGCGGTGAATTGGGCCACTAAGATGAAAGACCCTTGAAGCCAGCCACGAGCCACGAGCGTCGAGCGCTCAGGTCCTCCTATCCCCTTGATTGTCAATTATTGCCGGGACTCTGTACTGTTCGTGAGCCCTTCAGCCGGGAAGGGGCAAATTGTGTGAGTTGTTCGTCAGATGGGATCAAGTGACCCGATAGCAAAGTGCAAAAAGAGGCCGGACAAGTCGGCCCAGGGCAAGCAAGCAAATATTCCAGCAGAAGTGCAAAAGATATTTGCCTGCCAGGTAATGCGGTAATGGTTGTGGGTGCCGTCTACCGGATTTTATTTGCCTGAAGAGGAGCTATCTTCTACCCTCCAAGAGACGACACCTAGTAACGTAGCCAATAATGAGTGATTTTGATCCTGATGTATATATCCAGCTGTGGTAGCAGCGGGGTTGTTGTTGTCGTTTTTATTTGTGTGCCTCGCAATCACAGCGAGAACTTGACTGGTCGACTCGAAAACAACGTCGCCTTCGGGTGTGTGCGTTTCCTGTCGCCCCCTTGATTCCGGCAGTGATAGGGAAAATAGAATATTCTATAGAAGGAATTGCTGACTGACTAGCTGAGAAATGCCAACGACGGCCCTGAGGCTCTGTATGTGAATAAGCAGGCGACTGCTGACGAGAGCTTCGTTAATACCAGAAAACTGGAAGTTTAGCTGGTGGGTTTCTCAATTTTTTCTCTCTCATGCAGCTTGGTGATCCCTTAGGTAAGTTGAGTTAAGGCAGGTCATGCACGAAGGTGTGCTTTGCCATGCATTGCAGAATAGTCGAAGTGGGGGGTGGGTCAAGTTGGTTGGTCCGAAGAGGAGAGGCACGGCAGGATACGGAAACTCTTTGCCTGATGCCCCTGCTATTGGATTCTGCTTGGATCTGCTGGTAGGATTTTGCTGTTGAAACGACGTGGAGTGATCTGACGATAGACACAGCCCCTTGGGTTTGCTGTAAGGGTACTTTTGGGGAGGAAGAAGCTATAGTAAGAATCTAACAAGCTGGAACCGAGAAGACGGATCCGTGGAGAGTACTAGGTAATGATGGATGTGTGGTAAAAGATGAAAAAGAACGACGATGACGGTGGTGGAGGGGCATTTACTACCTAGCAAGCTAGAGCAGCGAATGGTGGGATGGAGCAGGGTCGGTGATGACGTCCGGGTTCACAAAATAGAATTGCGTTGCGTCAATGGCAAGCCTAGGCCGAACTAGAGTCCAGCTTATCCAGCCAAGTCCAGCTAGATTTGAGCGTTGACAGGTACCAGGATGAACCAGGCCGCGCGAAGAAGGATGGTTACGCTGATCGGAAGACTAGGAGAACCCCCGTTGCGGTTCAGAGTGATGTTCGAGAGTTCGACGATAATGATCAATGAAAATCGAATGTTCTTCAAACTAACCTACTCCGTATTAATGCGCTTCCGAGATCGTAGCCTCTGCATAGAAACTGCATAGGACTGCATAGGCACTAGTTTGTAGGAGGTAGCAAGGAGGAACACGAACCAAACGTAACCAAACGGAGCCAGACGTCAACCTGAATCAAAGATCAGCGGCCTGGAAAGAAATTGCGCCGCCTTTGCGCCCGTCGCATGTAGGATCGACCGTGAGACCGTGCCGTAATATGTGATGTTGTAGGAACGATTAAAGAATATGCGGCCGAATTCCAGAGTCGAGGTAGGCAGGAATTCAAGTGTCCATATAACAATAATAGCAACCTCGCAGCTTCCTGGAAATAACGTATGAACCTTAAGCTCTGGTCTAGTGTTTGGTCTAGTCTTATTGTATGTAAGTGTTAGCGGACTGTTAGTGCTATTGATGCTAATATTGGAAACACCGATTGATCAAATAACCAACGTCGCAACCCATCGACTTAAGAAAACTCAAAGACAGCCAGCCTGCTTTTTACATATTTCTCAAATTCTCTAAGCTCTTATTCTGTTTCAAATGCTCTTAGTTTTGTTATGCTGATAGGTAAACAACCGTTTTATTTTTGTCTCTCGTTTTTGGAAATTACCTAAACCAAAGTTCCAATTCGGCAATGCGCCAACGAATTGTTGTCGATGCTTCACTTCTGCACAGCTTTTCATATAGCGAATAGGCTCATCCACGTAAATAGTCCAGCGCATATTCCTCCGTACACCGTCTCCTGGGTAGATATGTATTCCACTATGTATCCTGTCAGCCTGTCTATCGTACAATCAAACAATCATATGGATATGACCCGAGATATTGAGAAGGCTTTGACCTTAATCGGCCGTGTCATTCATCATCAATCACATTCTCTCGCCATGGCAACAAATTATCACGACACCAATCGCCAAATCATTCCCCATCTCATTTTCGACTTTTTTTTTACCTCAACCGTCTGAACCAGCCTTTTGAGCCGGTTGGTATGTTGAAAGTTTGGTTCTCTACTCTCATTGGTGCTTTATTTTGGTGTTTCGGGCTTCAACACTAGACTCGATTGGAACCCAATGGGTCCTCCTTTCGGTTCTCCTCTTTGGCCGCTGTCTGGCTACGGGACTGCGAGATCGTTTTTTGAGTCACAATTGTCTCTTAGAATTGGTCAAACCGTTTTGTCACTTTGTGACTTTCTAATCCTCGTGCCTCGTGGCCCGGCCCGAACCTTTGGTTCCGGCGTCTCGCCTCGTCTCGCATAGGTCAGTCAAAGTACATCGTGACGCATAGTTCTCTAGGGGAGAGAGGCTGCGTATTCAGCCCAGCCAGGCTGTACTATACCTTGGGCTGTAGAATTTTATATTGCCCGAATCGGCAAGTAGCACGAGAGAGTCTACCTAGGTATCTATGTAAACAACCACTTACTACTTCAACCACCAAATAACGATTTGCAGTCTACCGTGGTGAGGACGACGCAAGCCGCCCAAGTGGCGACTCGTTCAACCGCCCCTGTATGATTGGGCTGCCATAACATAAGGGATGGGTTTGCGACGACTCCTCTACACCCCTCGCGGCACTTGACAAATATGTCTCTCAAATCACATGCTCCTCACGAGCCAAGGCTTTCGTCTGTAGTCTGTTTCAAATCTAGTTCCTTACATTTTTTATTCGACAGCTTCCAGACCGGTAGAGTTGCCTTAATTAGCAACTGGGGTGACGGATCGACTGAACGAGTAGCAATCAACCGCCATCATGATCAAGCTCGTAGGATCCGACCTTCGAATAGGTCAGCTACCTAGTTACGTACGTATTAATTTACTAAGGAACGAAACTATGCCCGATTTTTCACCTTGTCCTGCTTGTCCTGCTTGGGCGCACGCTCTCTATTTGCGTAGGTATGTGAGGGTTGGCATGGAACGAAGATCCCCAAGGAGACCGTAGCAACAGCTCCGTCCCACGGCCAACTCCGCCGTCGTGACTTGGTTTTGGCTACATCTCTATGGGCCTTCTCCGCTGACCTAGGATTCCTAGTCTAGATTGGGCGTGAATAGCATGTCCCACTCGCATAGAGCGCCTAATATACAATGTTATGCCGATAAGGGAGAGTCGTCTTCGAGGTGACTCCTCGCTAGTTCGACCAAGGAGATGTGTTATTCCCGTGGCCCGTACTATCTAGTCAAGATATGCCCAATGATCAAGGATAGGTCCTTGAACAGCAGTTACTCCTTAGGGGCTTTCGGGCCCTACGGGCTTCTGGTTGAATGGGCACACGCAGTAGATCGTCTCTGTAGGCGCGTAATTAGCTTAAGCGCCGCGTATCTACAAGATGTTGGGCTTTTCACGTTTTCGACATGCTTGAACGAAAGGCAGATCTGGGGTTTGATAGGGGTAAGGCCAGCCAACAAGAGCTAACCCCTGAAGGCTGAGCCCTACGAGCTGGAAAACAAGCTTAACTAGAAGAACCAACAAGAACACGCGGAATGCGAACGTTCGTATTGTTAGGCTACGATAAAACAGATACAGCCGCGTCCTGTAAGTCACTAAAATTCCACCACGTTGCACATCCCAAGGGAGCCCCGGAGATTATCGTAGACCTCACCGCTCCCCTCTTCATTGACATCACTTCCTCGATTGATAATAATCCGAAATCAACGTCATCAAGAAAGAAAAAATAGACACGAGACAAACAATGCCTCAACTAAGCCGCTCACGCGATGTATGTTGATCTTTCGAAGCTCGAGTTTGACTCGCCAATACCTGAAAGTATTCCCCGATTAGCCCTGAAGCTTCGCAAACCCCGAGCGGTCAAAAGACTACAATACTGACTTGGCAATATTAGGAACTCCCGAATCCTGTGACCTTCGTGAGATGGGTGACACAAATGCCAGGTCATCACCCTTAAGTCGTATCATATAACTTACTTATCTGTATTACCATCTCACGTTGGGTCGAAAGGGGGGAGGCTGGAGGATGAGAACCCCGAATAGCCAAGGCGCCTCGACATCAACCTAGGTTGCAAAGAGAAGGTTGCTAAGGTTACAAACAAAAATATCCCTACGTCTGACAAACACGGTTATCATAACAACCTCTACCCAGAGTGACTCTAAACAGTGGGCTTACAGTAGAGAACGAACGAATGGATGGATGAGAACGTGCGACAAAAGAAGCAAAACTCTAATAATGAGCTAGCTGCTTACAAGTGTGTTTACATCTCACATCTCTACGCCCGCTCGAAACCCGTGTTACGACAACTCTTTCGTCATCCTCCCCCCTTTACAAAGGCCGCGCTCCCGACACCACCGGTCGCCTCTCAGCCTCTCCCACAGTCGCGTCGCCCACCCAGCGCGACGCCGCTGACACAGTGAGGCTCCCCCCACGCGCGTCTCCTAATCGCCGACGCGCATATCCGGGTCGATCACGTTTGCCATACCCTCCCCCGAAGATGCTTCTTCTGCGCTACCTACCATAGACACCAAGGCGTGCGTAGAAGCAGGGCGACTATAGCCTCACCGAGGGGCCGGACCGCACCATTTATCTAACACCCCCATACCCGCGCCCCCTTCCCTCGTATATGCCTGTGTAGGCCTATATATTGCGTCTAGTGTATGCCGTATAACGCTGGCGCACGCAAGCCACCTGCGCGGCTTTGCTTGGCAGGCCAAAAGAAACCATAAAACCTGTATACCCGCATACCTAAATAGATAGGTAATATGTAACCAGCCTTCATTACGCGCGAGAGAGCGAAAAGGGCAAGAGGGCATAAACATGTCTAGGCGTAAAGGGGGACCCTACGTGCATTGCGGCGTGGCGTCGCGGTCCGGGAACGTGGACCCCTAAGAAGCCTCAGAAACCCGGCGATCCGACGACGCCGTGACATCTTTCGATAGCCGGTTCGTCCCGTCAGAGAAATAAGCAACCTGGCAAATACCGAAGTAGGTACCTACATAGGTAGATAAAAGTTGGTCCCAGCTCCCCCCCAACCCTGGCTAGATCTACGAGGAAGGCTTGCTCCCTAGTGGACCGGTAAAAAAAAAAAATCGATGAAATTATCGAGATGGTGAGATCTTTGGGAGACAGCTCAGCAGCCCCCCGCGGGACGGGCCATCCCACGATAGTGTTATGCGAGAGGAATGGGCTGTCTCGGTACCAGCCCCTCGTCGGGATTGTCTCCTTAGATTAGATCTAAAGCTTGCCTAGCTGCTGTGGTTTCTAGATTGGGTAGGTGCACACGATCTTTCTTGTGCGAATTAAGACATTGTGTGGTATGGCAACGTCGTTTTCACATGATTTCTCGGATAGGGCCGTCCGACGGCTGCTTCGTGATGCTTAATAGGTGTCGAATTCTCAGTATGGGATTTCTTGATGGAGGATAAATGTATTGTTGCAAGCCTCAGTTGAATGAGTCGTAGTCAAGTCGTCGCCAATCTCGCTGGAAGAACTTGATTATTGTCTTGCTGCTTTTAAAACGTCTCGAGATATGTAGTAGAAACAAAAATGTATCGGTACTTTGGTATATTGCTCTTCAGATTATATTATATCATGTTTAATATTGTGAAACGTATGTGAATGGGGTTCGGAATCCGGTGGAATTAATCCCAAGCGTAAATGTTGACCCCTGAGATAGAAAAGGGGTTAGAAGACATCATTGGGGTTTAATCCATATAATTATTAGAATTATATGAATTTCTGAAGGGGGTCCTCAATTTCTCGATCTCGCTATATACTACCTAAGCTCTAGACAATAGGCACACTTCTCGCCATGAAATGCTCGCTGAAGCCACATGTCTTGTAGGTAGGAACGAGCAGGTAAAAGGTATAACATGAACTTGGAAATAAAGTAAGATTCGATAACACTATAGTCGGTGCGATTTAGGAGTAGATGAACAGATGGAATCAAAGTAAAGACACAAGAGCCGTACAAGCTAGAACCATCCCTAGCTACCCACTAACAGGATATTCGTGAATTCATCATGCCCATAACTAGAAACTCGAAACATCCATACCAAAAGATGAAAATCCATGCCTAGATACCATCATCATCAACACCATCCATTCACCTCCCCATTCTTTAATTCATGAACCCCACTTCCCCTAAGCCAAGCTTCCCATAGGATCCCAAAGCGGCAGCACCACGGGCTCCTTGCCCAGGACATCCCTCACCCGTCGTGCCAGAAACCTCGGGTCGACAACAGCTTGATAAACAAACTCATCCATCCACTCGTCGCTCATGACGAACCAGCCCTTCTCGCCCACGCTCTCGCCCCAGCTATTCTGCACCCTCCAGCGCACCGTCTTCCCCTCCGCATCTACATGTACCGCCGTCAGCACCATCGCGTGCGTCATCGCACTCTCGCCGACCCTGAGTCTCGCCGCCTTATCCAGGTTCCCGTAGAGGCTAACGTTAAAGCCGAGCTCGTAGTCGAATAGACCTAGATCCATGACCCCGCTTACGCGCTCGCTGTACTTCCCTACATCTGACCCGAAGAAAACGGGCAGGCCCGCACGCAGCATAGCTACGCATGCCTGCTTCAGAGTTTCCATGTCAACATTGATATACGTGATACCACGGCCACCGACGATATTCCCCAGTCTATCGACCGAAAGTAGGCTCAAGGGTTCGTGGCGCGGGTCATGGACTAGGGAGACCATGCTCGCGACAGCTGAGCTGCTGATGCGGAACTCGGGACTCGAGATATCCTTCGCGAAGCGATGCGGTGTTGCGACTACAGTTCGTGCGCGTCCATCCTTATCCTGGAAGCTCCACTCGAACTCCTCGCTTGAGCTGGGCGGCGGTCCCAGAGTCAGAGTTAAGATGAGGTGGACCTCGCGCATCATCTTATCCTTTGTTGCGGAGAGGATAGCGGTTGTGGTAGAAGGACTGTTGACCAATTTCCGAAGTACAACCGCGTACTCGCGCAGCTTGGCGACGATAATGGAGTTGATGGTGCTGCTCGTCATGGCATTCCAGCTATCAGGATACAGAGCCTGGGGCACGAGGCCGTACTTCTCGACGAGGTTGTATACCATGTCCCACTGCCCACCGTCGCTGATAGGGTCCGCGAGCAACCTCTGGACCAACCTCTCGTCCAGGGGCTGGTCGGCGGTCTCGATAATGTTCTCTAAGAAGTAGTTTGACTTCTCGAGCTTATCCCAGAAGAACAGATAAGCTTGCGAGAGCTCGAACGAGTCGAGGTTGTACTTCTTCATGAGAGCGATACGGAATACATTCGTGCTAGCGAAAAGCCAGCACCGACCCGAAGATCGCTGGTTTGTGATGGGAGCACCTTCGAATGGTATGCGAACATTGAATACCTGCTGGTCCGCGATCTTCGCAGAACGGGCAGTCAAGACATCCTTGGGGTTCGCAGAGCTGAGGGCAGAGAGTGCCAATCTATGGCGAGAATAAGGTGCTATTAGTCCCACGACTGGATCCAGAATTACGTCCAGGAAGAAGCAACGAACCTGTTCTTAGGATCTGAAAGCAACTTAGACTGCCAATCCTGAGTGATCTCAATATCTAGCCCCTCCGGTTGTCGGCTTATACGCCCATTGGATGACGCCCCCTTCTCGCTGTGAACATGAACGAAGTCGTCCTCAAACCTGAGGCTCTGTAGGCGTTCGAGAACGGCTTTCTCATGCGCAGCAACCGCTGCCGCTTCAGGCGAACTCTTAGACTGCTGGGCACCCATTATCAATGATAACTACGAGGGATTTGATATGAGCTTTATCACTTAAATAAGGTAGTTGGGGGAAGATTGAAGATGGATGCCAATCTAGCTATCCTCATAAGCACTTTGGTAGTTGCACGAATAGATAATTTTGAGTTTCAGTTTGCTTTCTACGACGAACTTTACGACATAATGCTCTAGTACTAGAGATTATGAATCACATAGGATAAGGGATCTAAAGGTAGAAGGTGGGAGGATGATACGATTGCACCTTATCACAACAGATGCTGGATAAGGAAGGATCACCTGCCTGATTGGTTAAGACAGAAGCTCTGCTGACCATATCTCCGCCAGACTTGCCCATTACGGTGTACTGCAAATACCTTGATGGCTGCGGAACCTTATGCGATTCATGCATTACTTAAGACAATGTCACAAGTCTGAAACATCCTAGACAAATTCACATTCATAAAAAGATCATAAAAGTTGTACGTTAAGGCTTGACATTCAATTACCATCCATATACAGAACATGCGTCAACTGTCTCATGCCAAAATCCGTAACGTCCATTTTTCCAATCCATATACTAATTACTCGCGGAAGATGTGTGAAGCAATCTTTAAGAGATCAACCGCGACTCCATCATTAACCATGTGCAAAAGAAATCGTTTCCAGCTATGATGACACTAATTGACACAACAGTTGATCCCATAAACCTACAGCGAACATCGCACGCTTACAGGTTAGAGGCGTGGATCACCTTCATGTCAACAGCGAGCTCACGGCCGCCATCGTTGAGAACGAGCACGCGAACGCTGCCGTGACCGGCGTTGAAGGCCTGGTTAAGGCGAGACCAGAGGTTGGACTGGTCAATGACGGGGAGACCAGTCTTCACATCACCGGTCTCGGTCATGGCGACGATGCTGCCATCCTGGATGTCGAGGACACGGTACTGCTTGAAGACAGGGCCGAGCATGGTCTGAACGACAACGCTGGGGGCAGGGTTGGAGACGAAAGAAGACTCCTCGTGAAGCTGCTTGGTGAAGAGGTCAACACCAAGGTAGCGGTGCTGGCCAGTGGCAGAGGAAGTAGAGATGCGGATGACTTGGCAGGGGCGGCCCTGGAGCATCAAGATGTCACCCATGCGGACATGGTGGCAGGGGATAGTAACGGTGTTAGGGACGGAGGGGGCTCCGTTACCCTTGGTAGAGGAGCGAGATTGAACGATCTCAACTCGCTCGCTCTCGGGGTGGAAGACTCGGTCGGCCATCTTGTGTAGACTGTGTCGGAATGAATGATAGTTTCCTATGATCTTGATTAGAACTGATGTTGACGGCAAGCAACGATGTTAAATGGACTTACCCGCTTCGTCGTAATATCCCATTCTAGACTTCTGGCTAGCGGGGGTGTGGCGGTGTCGAGGATACCCAGTAGTGGTTTCCTCAACGATCTTGCTGTCCTTTTGGTAGGAGGAACTGGGCCTAGGTGGGTCGATAGTTGTCTCGGATACGCGAACTTCTTCCTTGAAGACGGGGAGAGGCTTGGGTGGGTCGATGGTAGAACCAGTTACGTGGGTCTGTTCAGAGAAGTGGGAGCGAGGAGGCTTAGGGACGTCAACGGTAGTACCGATAACACCAATTTCCTTTCCTTCTTCTTTGATGTAGTTAGGCTGGGCACGAGCGCGGTATTCGCGTTCAATACGATCAATAGAGCTTAGAGCTGGCTTGTTCGTGCGGTCGATCTCAATAGAGGTCTCAGCAATAGAGAAGGAAGACTGAGGACGAGGCTTGAAGTGAGATTCCGAGTAGGAAGTGTGAGGTCTAATAGAAGAGGATTGATGTTAGTTGAATTGAAGTTGAAGATATTTTCTTTACCAAATGGTTACTTGGTCAACGTAAACTCGTATGGGTCCAAGCACTAGCGAGGCAGGGGGGCCACTGAGAAAAATATGAAGCGAGCCCCATGCTCCATATTGGCCAATTTAATTGCAAATGGAGCTCTGGCCAGTGCGGATTGTGACATTATGTTACGATCCGATTAACCAGTTTCTTTGGGGCGATTTACGACCCTCCATCACCTCCATATTACAACTCAGTCGCCATTGGCCCCGTTTTGTTTGTTGTCTTGGCCGCAATTGTGGAATAGGATTGACAATGGGATTGACAGTAGAAAATCGGTGAAGACTAACCTGTGCTCCTCAAAATGCTCACGACGGGCACCGGGACGGCGGTAACGTTCTTCTTCACGTGTGATGCGGACCTCTTCTTCGCTAAATCGTTGCTCTCGACGCGGAGGTAACTGAGCAGAAGCAGAGATAGAAGAGTATTGACCTTCCCGTCCGGCTTTCTCAGGTTTGGCGGGGAGATCGATCTGAACCTCTTCGTGGGTTTGAGTGGTTGTCTCTACCTCAGCTTCCTTGTATGTGCGGGGGAAGATGCTGAAGGGGACGGGTACGCGGGCTTCAAAGTCCAGGTTGGCGACCTTTGCGGCGCGAGAGTCCTCTCCTCGACAACCTTTCGACTAAGGGCGAAAGGAAGACAAGAAGATTCCTCTTGCTCTTCTTTCTACAAATCTGAAAGAAAAGAAGGGAGTTGAAGCAAGCGGGAGTTGCTGGCTTCTTTACTCGATTCTCTCGTTCAGGTTCAGGCTGGAAGAGCGGGGAATAGTGAGTTGGAGTTGGGTGTGAAGGAGTTGTTGGGTTTGTGGTGAGATCAAATGGGAGAAAAGGAGGTGAAGTGTCAGAACAGATTATTGGAAGGAAAGAAATAGGAGGAGCTGCAGGGAGAAAGATGGGCAGTGCAGATGTATTGTACTGTACTGATCGTACTGCTGCGTGCTGCTGCGAGCTGCTCCTGCCGAGGGAGCAAAATGGCGTGGCAGGGCGTGTCCTGCCTGTTTTCCCAAGGGTGTCCGCTACTTCCTCCAGGTGATGCAGGGGTTGTGTGGTTGGGACTTGTTTACATGAGTGGGTCCGCAGGGATGTGGTCTGTTTATCTGACTCTAGAATAGGCTAGCGGGTGGGGACCTAATCCATCAAGAAATTAAGACTGTTTTTCTTCTTCTTTTCGCACGGGGGCCGCGAGTTACAACCGACACTACTCTGACACTGTCCTTGATATCCAAGCTACATTCGATCCACATGCGTTGGATCTGGCCAATTGTTCATTTCTATCCCTTGCTGTTTTCTTGTTTCGTCTTCCTCGTTGGCCGGGGAAGCCCATCCAATAAACCTAGCCGACATTGGCCTTCTGGGGCACGATGGGGGCACGATGGGACCTTCTGGGTCTTCCTGGAGCTTCGGCGATGATCAAGATCGAACCAGATCCACCTACTGGTCCAACCACTGTCCAACCTCCCTTATTGGTGTCGAAATAAGAAAGGCCAGTTAAGCCAATCCCCCGGGGTTGTCACCTCTCTATTTGCTCGGTTTGTTTTGGACGAAATCAATAGATGGGTTACGATGGAGAGACGCACTATATTCGGCCATTGAGAATTAATCGCCTCTGCGTGGCCGTTCAGCTACAACTGGCAGACCCGATCAGCCATGGAACTGACATGTATCAAGCTCAAACAGTGATTTGTTTGCATAATAATACGAATTGACCGCTCTCCATCGAACGCAACGCACGATGGCATCTACCGTTGCTTGGAAAAGCTGATCTGTCTCATCGGAAAGCATATGCAGTGATACCAGCCTACCGCTTTGGAACAATTGGAAAATCGAAGAGGCTGGGACCGTTTTCTCCGAAGCAAGTTGGCAGGCGGCAGGCTGGCAGATGCAATTCATCTACGATTCTCGATGGCTGGGCAGCTAAGAAACCAACCACTCGAAAGCTCAATCGAGACTTGCATACACGACGAATCAAAGCTTGGAAATGATATGATTTCCAACCACCATTTGCTGACACTTGCAGCTTCAGCAAGGCATCTCCCATTACGCGTAGTATCGTGGATTTCGCTCATTGGGTTATGCTGCTGCTGATGGTGCACAAGCCCAGCTTCACTTATGCACGGCCCAATGCAGAGGAACAAGCTGAGCTGAGCAATTGAGCTTTACTTTTCCGTCGTGCAGCTCCAGAAACAAGTTCCACTTGGCCACAGATCCTGATCCCTGTCCGCCTTGATGATGTACCTCCACCCAATCTCGTGCGACTGATCATCTCGATAAATTCTTAGAAAACCGCCTGGCCGTCCGGCCGCTGCAAATTGATCGATTTTTACTTTCCGGACATCTAGCAAACGACCTCGGCACTCTCCATCCAACACGTTTCGAATACTAAAAGAAAAGCGCCGTCAACAATTGCTGATACCAATTTACCCCTGATCGTCCAGAGACTCCAATTTCGTTGTCATGACAACCGGATAGGCGAACACGCGCTAGGTTACGATCTTTTCCTGATAGATTAAAGCGGAGAAGCGTAGGAAAACAGGGGTTTTACGAGGTTCGCGCCTCGCAATTTGGGAGAAAAAAAAGAGTTGGCTTGTCAACGGTTGTTTGAGAGTTGAGCTTTCGTCACATGTTCTGAACTCGAAGAACCGTTTCACCTCGATACGACGAGTTAGCGCCTTTCTATTTCCGACGAGTGGACGAATCCAAGTTGTGTCCCGATGCTCTGAAACGGTGGAAAGCAATTTTCAAGACTTTGAAGCCCAATGCTTCAATCTTGCGAATTCAAACTATTTCGGAGTGTCAACAGTGCTTTCGAGGTATCCAGCTAGAGGGAAAGACCGCCTACTTACAATAACACAGATTTCGTACCGAGTGCTTCCGAATGATTTGATCATCCTCTAGCACTTAGGATAGCAAGCTTGTTCAGCTGGGATGTTTGTCCGCTAGCGACTAGAAGCTCGATAATGTCCGACTATTGACGGCGATCTTGGCGTAGAAAAATCCAGGTGGCCATTTAGACTTAACGTGACCTATCGTAGCATACCTTCTCGAGCCTCGGGCGATGATTGGATGCATTTCGGAAGACTGAGGTAAGATGAACATAGGTTGAAAATAAGACTACAACTCGGATTTCGAGATAGTCGTCACAAATGCCAACAAATTCAATTAGCAACGTACATAGGCAGCCTCTACTATACGCAGTCGAATGCAATGATATGTCGGCTTTTACAAAAATCAATACCTAATTGAGACTCAACTTTCCAAGTGGCATTATGGTAATCGAGTCTAGTTTTGGTTCATTCAGCGGAGGTGCGTTGGGAATAACGACAAATGCTTAATTACGTACGTTGAGGGATATGTTTGCGGACAATTTACAATTAGAGGAGATGTAGATTGGCCTACAATGCACCCATTTTCATTGCCCTCGGACGACCGACGGTCCCAACAACCACCATATACGAATGTCATCAATGTGGAACACCTGGAAAGACGAAGACGATTCTTACTTCCCGCCTCAATTGACGTCCAGGACTGCATGATCCAGCACCCAGCGTTGGCAATCAGTTCCGCCGAAGACAATGTCCAATGCCTACATCGACAATAAGGTCGTGACCCAATAAGATCGCCATAACATTGTATGAACAGTTATCATATGGAACAATGCGCCAGCCTAATAGCGTGTCCGCGTGGTACTCATGCGATCATATAAGCTATTTCGGGTAGACACGTCGAACGCCTCTCTGCACGGAAGCAAGCAAGGCCACCGCAAAATCAACGAAGTCGGTCGCGACATCGTCGCAGGAGCTCCGTCGTGGCAAACTCCCATTACCTTGAAGATCCGGGAAGTGGCGTCGCCTTCGTGTTCCGGCTCTCCTTACCGCGACTAGAGAGAATCTCCATGGATCAATCCACACCGCGTAGTCTTGGGCTACCTACATACTGTACAGTACGTATAGCTATACACCTAGATAAGGTGTCTATTTAGGTGGATAGGTGAGCTGTACTCGATCTTGCCGTCGTCGCCCACTTCCTAGGCGATGTGCTGGCCGACCCCGATCTCCACGACCGTGCCCGCGCGCGATGAGATGGCAAAAACCCGTCCCGTCCCGCCCGTCGGTCCATCGTACAGCAAAACAACGCCGGCGGGTCCGAACCAAAGGGACTCTCTCCACTGCCTCTCTTTTGCTTTATTCTGCCAGATCACGGAAACGCAAGGGCCCGGGCCGTGGGGCTGCGTCGTCCTTCTCCGCCTGCAAAAGCATCCTTTCGTTCAAGTTAATAGAGGGTCTCCCCATAAACCCGTACGTGGAGCTGGAGGTTGGTGTTCCTCGTGGAGCGCAAAAAGAAAAAGTCTGGAACCCTTTTCCGCCGCCACGATTACGAGCTTCGGGACCGTCGACCGGACACCGCCTTGATCGCCGCCCTTACGGGGGCTCCATATGACGCAAGCTGGCAAAAAAAGAATTTGGTGCTATTATACGGTATGTATGTATATACTACTAGGCGAACAGCGAGGTTGTCGTTAAGGCTAGTATTAGTGTACATGCAACGCGCCCCGGCGGGCGGGTGGAAAAATTCCCACTCGAAGCCTCGTATTCCCTAGCGTGGGTTCAGTGATATGCACGATGTTGCAGTTATCCACACGGCATGCAGCTTGGTTGTGGGTATGGGTATGGAAGTAGCATGGCATCATCTTGAATTGTTCATCTTAAACATCGTAAGACCACACACTGTTGCTCATTATCAGGGCTAGATGTTTAATCGACTTGCTAGGTACTTTAGCACTCGTCAAAAGAGTTAGTCGCCTACTTGCCCTGCTCGCGAACCTGATTCTGTCTCATAAACACGCACAAGGTATACTTAGGCGGGCACCTGCAAGAGAGCCTAGGATTGATCGTGAAAAATGCAAGAATATCTTGGGCTATTAGTAATAGTAAAATAGCCTCAAGGCAATTCGAATGTGTATATATGATTCTGCATTCACAATAGAGGACGCCGAAATTCTGACGAAATAATTTTTCCATTTTTGCCATTGCTAATAATGATCTTGGACGCTGTTCATCTCCGTGAGCAACTAGGCTATCATTGGCGCTTTTAATAGCCATAGCCCACCGCGTCAACTCAACCGAGTTCCTGCATTTGATATGGAAGGATTTCATCTAGAACAACCTACTCATATTAAGGATTAAGCTATTCGTGTTGCATGAAAGATAATTTTAGGGTACCTTATAATAAATCTGATTCCGGGCGGCAAACCTTACGATCTTGTTACATCGCCTCCCCCGCACTTCCGTGATGTCTCGCCTTCTACAAAGGGGAATACGGACGCAGGCCCCCAAACCGATCGTCCTTCCGCAACGGTGGCATTGACAGATGGAAAAATTAGGGAAATGACTCAATTATCCGCCCATGCTCGCCGTACATTATGCCGAGATAGTAAGGATAGGGGTTTCTGTATATAATGTGAGATAGGGGAGGGAGTGATCGGCGCAGCTTGTTAGTGGTAGGCTTTGGCTGGATTGCTGCTCGATTAGACAATACAAGCTACCTCCTCGCAAATATGAAGCCATATTCACTTCTGTGGGCGACATCCAGCGTCCTGGGTGCCTCGTGGATCGCCCCGGGAGCCGTGTGGACTGATACCGACGGGAACAAAATCGACGCCCATGGCGGCGGTATCGAGAAGCGCGGCGATACCTTCTATTGGGTTGGCCAGGCGGCTAGCAGTAAATAACCTAGAACTTCTCGACGTACCAATTACCTGAAGCTGACAACATCGTGAAGATGAAACGCCGCAAATGTACTCGTCTACCGATCTTATAAACTGGACGAACCTTGGGAAGCAAGCCAGCTCCATTACTGGCATGTGGCGTCCTAAGATAGCGAAGCCGAATGGTTCATTCTGGGTATGGCATACCGAAAAACGAGTGTTTCCCTCTTTATGCTGTGAATTTTCTGATAAATTGTCCTTATGTAGTTATTTGGTCAACAAGATCGTTATGTCCTTTCCCTCAAGTCGTCGGAGCTCGTAGGCGGCTACAGTCAATCCGCCAAGGTCCACATCCCGCCGAACGATTACTCCTACTCGGATACCGGCATGTTCTATGATGACAGCACCCGTGAGTCCACTCCGATGAACAGTGAGGGGTCCTTTTACTGATGAGAGCGATGAATTAGAAACCTATTACCTCCTGACTAGCGCCGACCACAACACTGTCCAGGTCAACCGAATCAATTCGGACGGTGCGCTTGGAGACATGGTTTCAAGTCTCAGTATGTTCTTTACCTAGGCCTGTTAGTTTCTCCACAAGCACTAAACGGATATATGTAGCGGCGGGCGCGTACGAGGCTCCGGGCATAGTGAAGGCTGATGGGGTTTACTTCCTCATCGTCTCGGGGAAGACTGGCTGGCGCGCCAACCCCAACAAGGTGTTTTGGTCGACCTCGATCAACGGCCCCTGGACTGGAGGATCAGACATCGCTCCCCAGGCGGAGAATACCTATGGTTCTCAGAACACCTTCGAACTGACAGTCGCGGGCTCTCAAACGACCACATACATTTACATGGGCGATGCTTGGGACTCGTCGGGTGGTGCTAGCTCGAACTACGTGTGGGCGCCCATGAAAATCGATGCTAGGTAAGTCATCCAAAACTTTTGGACTCTGTTGGTCGGAGTCTAGGCTGGTTAACCGCAGACTCGATTTATATAGTGCCCACACCGTCACGATCGACTACCATTCTATGTGGAAGGTCGACGTCAACACTGGTGTGGTTTCTTACCCAACCACGGCGAAGCGCTACGAGGCCGAGCACGCTGTTTTGTCAGGCAGATCAGGTAACGTACCTCCTCGAAATAGCATGTCTGAACCTATAGGACTAATGATGAGAAGTGGTGAGAGATTGTCACGACTGTCTGACCAAGCGTGCTGTACATGGTGGTAAGTGCCTGTGCTCTGTTCGTCGAGCGGAGTCCATTACATGTACTAATTTATTCGATAGTTGGCGACTCCAGTGAAGTGACTTTCCACAATGTCACCGGCACTGGCTCGCGCCAATGGCTTTCTTTCCACTACCGAGTCAGCAACCCAGAAGGTATGTCGCGACCTTTTAGTATTGTCAATAGGATGTTGAAACTGATGATGAACCACCGCCGTAGCCGGAGAGGCGCACATCTACGTCAACGACGAGCCCGCGGTCAACATCTCGAGCCTGAACTCTCGCGCCGGCTATCACTCATCTACCCCAGTCGAACTCCTCTTGAAGCGCGGAGATGTGAATACCATCACCTTCGGAGCTACAGGAAGCGATGGTACGTTATTTGCCAACAAAAGGCTGACATGTATTGGATGCTAACAATGCTGCGACAGGTTTCGAGGTTGCAGTGGACGGAATCGAGTTGTTCGAAGACGCGTAGTGTAGGCCTTTACTTTCTCTGTACATACATAGCAGACGCTGAATTCGATATGAGCATACTATGCCAGATCAGATCAGTGTCTTCAATATTTATCAAAATTTGAACAACGGTTTAGTTGCTGTAAATACTTTTCCCTGGATGCTTTACGTCCGACAAAATTGAAGTTGATGATGTAATTATGTGAGTGCTGCCCCGATGGATAAAGTACTAAAGTCCCAGCTGTATGTACCGAATAAAGAAATGACGTAAACGGTAAACCAACAGTTATGGGATGGAATTTTGAGACGTTTTTGGCCCCTCCAAATCCGTTTAGCTCCCGTGTAAAACAACGTTTCTTGTTGCCATCCCATAATCCCTGTAAACTCAATTCAAGGTGAACGGCAACTTAAAACGTAAAGAAAATTACGTAATCAAACTTAACTGTTTGGTTCTTACCGTTTCGATATTGCGACTTGCGACTTGCGGTTTTGCCCCGCGTGCCCTTTGAGCTTGGTGTCATTCCCCAGATTCACCAACCATACGTTTGGCGGAGATACCTTAAGTTCGAAGTGGTTTTAGCGGCGGATTTATGGATAGGAGAAAATGAAGCAAAGATTCTCTTCGTTAGACGTCAAGGTAGGTCATTAGATTATCTTAACAACTCCAGTCAAACATTCCTAGCTCATATTCTACGCCAGGCCATCGCTCACGAGCTATCGACGAGCCTTGTCTCCCTCCGAGTTTCCAACGTCTATGACCTGTCCTCCAAAATCCTGCTCTTCAAGTTCGCCAAACCCGAGATAAAGAAGCAGCTCGTCATAGAATCCGGCTTCCGATGTCATCTGACTGACTTTGCGCGGACCACTGCTGCCGCCCCGTCCGTCTTCGTACAGAAGCTGCGCAAAGCTTTAAAAACCCGGCGTGTCACAGCGGTTTCGCAAATCGGCACAGATCGTATAATAGAGTTCCAGTTCAGCGATGGCCGGTACCGGCTGTACCTGGAGTTCTTTGCTGGAGGTAACGTGATCTTGACCGACAACGAACTCAAGATTCTGGTGCTTTTGCGCAATGTTTCGGAAGGAGAAGGTCAGGAGCCACAGCGCGCTGGCATGACATACTCCTTAGAGAATAGACAGAACTACGGCGGCGTTCCGGCATTAACGAAGGAGCGTGTACGGGATGCGCTTCAGACTGCAATCCAGAAGGCTGCTGATTCCGCGGCCAAGGGTAAGAAAATCAAGAGGAAACCAGGCGACGAACTACGAAGGGGGCTTGCCACAACCATCACAGAATTACCCCCAATATTAGTTGATCATGCATTAAGGGTCACCGGCTTCGACTCGAGCGTCTCCCCGTCTACAGTATTAGAAAACGAAGAACTTCTCGACCACCTGCTACAGTCGCTCGCGGAAGGTCGCAAGGTCGTTCAGGAGGTCACTAGCTCTGATACTTGCAAAGGGTATATCTTGGCTAAGATGAAACCGGGCGTCGAAAGTGTAGAACCCGGTGGCACGGATGGAGAACAACAGCAGAAGGGCAACTTGCTTTACGAGGATTTTCACCCATTTTTACCTCGCCAGTTCGAAGAAGACCCAAATTGCATCGTGCTTACTTTCGACATTTTCAATAAGATGGTAGATGAGTTCTTCTCTTCTATAGAAGGACAGAAATTAGAGTCGCGCTTAACCGAGAGAGAGGTCGCTGCTAAACGAAAGCTGGAGGCTACTAAAGCAGAGCACGCAAAGAGAATCGAGGGCCTTCAAGAGGTTCAACAACTTAATGTCCGCAAGGCTAATGCGATCGAAGCGAATGTTGAGAGAGTCCAGGAAGCCTTAGACGCCGTTAACGGTCTAATACAACAGGGGATGGACTGGGATGATATTGGAAAGCTTATCGATCGAGAACGCCTACGAGGCAACCCGGTGGCTGCTATTATCACGTCCCCTCTTAAGCTAAACGAAAATACTATCACCGTACTCCTTGGGGAACCTGAAGAGGAGGGATACTTTGGAGACGACGCGTCAGACACCGACTCTGTGAGCTCGGACGACAGCGGTTACGCGGGTACAGAGGCGTCTATGAGGAAAATTAGCGAAAATCGGCTAGCGGTTGACATCAACCTCGACCTCTCCCCTTATGCCAACGCAAGAGAATACTACGGCGAGAAAAAAACAGCAGCTGTGAAAGCACAGAAAACAATGTTACAGTCGGAGTTCGCCTTGAAAAGTGCAGAGCAAAAGATCACTACAGAGCTAAAGAAGGGCCTAAAGCAGGAGAAGCCAGTATTACAACCTATCCGAAAGCAACTATGGTTCGAGAAGTTTACCTGGTTTATCTCGTCTGATGGTTATCTCGTCCTCGGCGGCAAGGATGCCCAGCAAAACGAGATACTCTATAGACGGTATTTAAAGAAAGGTGATGTCTATGTGCACGCAGACCTTCACGGTGCACCGAGCGTTATAATTAAAAATAGTCCAAGCACACCTGATGCCCCTATACCCCCGTCCACCCTGTCACAAGCTGGTTCTTTAGCGGTTTGCGCCTCGTCCGCCTGGGACTCCAAAGCTGGCATGGGTGCTTGGTGGGTAAACGCGGATCAAGTATCAAAGTCAGCACCAACCGGAGAGTTCTTGGGAACTGGTAGTTTCATGGTCAGAGGAAAGAAAAACTTCTTGCCCCCTGCGCAATTGATATTGGGTCTTGCGTTGATGTTCAAGATCAGCGAAGAAAGTAAGGCCAGGCACGTTAAACACCGCCTTTATGACCTTCCAGAGGTGGGATCAAGCAACCAAGCTTCTACGGCCATTGCCGGCAAAGCCACAGCCGATACCACGAAAGATGACGATGCGGAGAGCGACTCGGGAAACAGCGCTATAGACGTCGATGAAGATTCTGAACTGAAAGAAAATCCACTTCAACCTTCGAAACATAATGACGACGAACATGAATCTCCGGGTGTTGCGGAAGGAAACCTCCTTAGCCGGGGAGTTAGCAAGTTGACAATCTCCGAGGAAGCCCCTAATGCTGGTGCTGCCGAAACGACACAGCCAGAAGAGGGTGAAGCCGATGAACAGGAGGAAGATGCAGAATCAGCGACAGATGCTGGTTCGGCACCTTCAGCCAAGATAAATACACCAGAACCTGTCTCGTCAGGAAAATCTACACCGCAACCGCAAAAGAAAGGTCAGCAACCTAAACGAGGCCAGCGAGGCAAAGCCAAGAAAATCGCCGCCAAATACAAGGACCAAGATGAAGAAGACCGTGCCGCTATCGAGGCTCTTATAGGTGCTACAGCAGGAAAGCAAAAAGCCGAAGCTGAGGCAAAAGCAAAGGCCGAACGCGAAGCACAACGAGTAGCTACGCTTGAACGCCGCCGAGCACAGCACCAACGGCAGCAGCGTGAAACGGCCGAGCATGAGGAAGTTCGCAAGATGATGCTCGAAGAAGGTATTGAGACGCTCGATGCCGAGGAAACAGCTAACCTAACCCCCCTCGACGCGCTTGTCGGAACACCCCTTCCTGGTGACGAGATCCTCGAGGTTATCGCCGTATGTGCACCCTACAGCGCGCTCGGTCGCTGCAAGTACAAGGTCAAGATACAGCCAGGCACACAGAAGAAAGGCAAGGCTGTCAAGGAAATCCTGGAGGCGTGGAAGGCGGCCTCGACGAAGAAAGGGGTTGTGGACGAGAAAAGCGAAGATAAGGAGAAGATGTGGCCCCGCGAGGTCGAGCTCTTCAAGGCCATTAAGCCCGAGGAGATCTTCAACGTTGTGCCTGTTGGGAAGCTTAGGGTTATGATGAGCGGGGCGGGCGGAGGTGGAGGAGATGCGAAGGGTAAGGGTGGAAGCAAGGGTGGCAATGCGAACCGTGGCAAGAAAAGGTAAAGACGAAAGGGTAAAGGAGACATAGGTAACATAGACCAATATATTTATCTATGCCAGGCCTCGACGGCAGTAACAGTTGCTGAAATCCATTGAAGGACAGGTATTCATGAATATTTCTACTAAAGACGAAATCACTATTATATTCTTCGATGTCTAGAATAGTTACCCACACCGACGGCTTCTACTTAGCTGGTATGGCCCTCTCCCATCTCTACCTACGCAACATACTTCACGTATGCGGTCACTTCTCATCACGATGTAAAAACAAGGTTCTCATAATGCCCAATCTATCATCGCATATCGTTCGTTTAACTAAAAATATTTCTTAGATGCAGACAGGCAAATATGGATTTGGCAACAAACTAAATAACCACGATAAAACCCGTCGATCTTCAGTATATCTAGGGCATACGCGGGTAGAAAGGATCTGCCCACCTGACCTCTGCCGAATCGGCAGGCTCGAAGAATCCCTTCTGCTCATTGAAATTGTCTATGTAGAATTGCTGCAAGTCAGGATGTATGCGAAGGGCGTCTAGAACCGTTTCTTCACCGATGAGGATTCGGGACAAGAGATCTTTGAACGTCGCCTCGTCGGTAAACTTACACGAGCTCACTACGCAATAGCAGATAGCCGTCCAGCACAAGATGTGATGAGGGTCCAGGGAACCCCCGCACTGGCGAAACTCAAGAACGCCTCGGTACGCATCGACCACGTCGAAGTATAGCTCCTGCTCGCCGTTACGCCCCGTCCAGGGCAGAGGTACCGGGTTCGATCTCTTGCCGTTGCCGGTCATCTTCACCATGACCTCCGCCTTCTTCGAGACGAGCGGGGTGCTGAGCGCTCGCGCGATAGCGGTCATATTAGCGTACGACCACAGCGCCGCGAAGAAGATGCGGTCCGACAGCTTACCTTTGCCCTGGAGCGCGGGTATCAGGTCCTTCGGCATGTTGCGCTCCATCTCCAGCATGCATTCCATGCGCTCCTCACCCGGCGGCTGCGGCATAATCCAGTCATCCCAAGCCTCCAGTTCCGCATATTGCATGTTGGACAGCCCGCCGAGCCTCGACACCCTTTTGATCGGCCCGCACACCTTGTCGTACGCGCGCGCGCTGCGGTGCTCCGCGTTAAGGCGGCCGAAACCCCTATCGCGCAAAACGGTAACGAGCGTGACGAAGCGCTTTATATCGAGCAACTCGAACCCCGCGCGCGTCGACACGCTGACCTGCGTCGTGACGGGCACCGCGGCGATGTCGCGGTGCACGCGGAAGTTGTTGCGCACGGCGCGGCATATCTGCCGCAGCGCGTCGTGCAGCACATGCGCGGCGTCGGCCCGCAGCACCGGCGTCGCGATCTTGATGATCTCCCAGTGGTACGGGTCGAACGGGTGCTCGGGCGCGTCGGCGTAGGAGTCGCCCCGCACGTTCGCGAAGGGGACGTCGGGCATGGCGTATACCGAGAAGGCGAGGTACCGCGGCTTCATGCCGGGGAGCGGGACGGCGCGCCGGTCACGCTGGGACTGGCGTATGTGCTGGCGCAGCAGCGCGGCGAAACGCGCGCGTGTTTTTGCCCAGGCGTAGGTGGCTACGTTGTATAAAGGTGTGTTGGATACCGCGTGGAGAATATCTTGTTCCGTTGCGACGGCGAGCCGTGTTCCTCCCGCTTCCGGGTTGAAGAACATTTGCAGCGATAGATTAAGCGCGTCCTGCGCGTTCTTCTCGCACTCAGCGTCGATGGGACCCGGCGGCGCGTCCTTCCCAAACGTATAATCGGTCCTCCTCGTCCACGCCTCCATTTCCTTCGGGTCGCGGCGCACGAACACCATATCCGTCTGCGCGTTGAGGACCTCCAGCACGCGGTCCACAGCGACCTGGCGCACGTACACCGGATCCGGGTCGCCGTGCTCGTCGCTGATATCGCTCGCCAGCCACCGCGTCTCCTGCTCATGCGGGTCCGGGATACCGGCCCTTGTGCGGCGGTACACGGCAACGGGGAACTCGAGCTCGAGCCCAACCGTGAAAAAGTTGTCCCGCACCGTCTCCTCGTCGCGCACCCAATCTTCCGACTCGGACGCGTAGTCCTGCCACGTGCGCCCGAGCTCGAACCAGTCCGGGTCCTGGACCCAGTCGCGCGCGTCCTGGGCCTCGGTCAGGGCGCTCGAGCGCATCATCTCCTGCACGTCGCGGCGGTCGAGCTCCTCCATCGCCGGGCTGAACCGGAATGACGGATCCGACTCTGGCTGCTCCGGGTACAGGCCGTGCCGCCGGTCGTAGACGTCGTGGATCTCCCACAGGTACTCGAGCGTCGAGCGCTGCAGCTCCTCCCACGGCAGGTTGGCGGCGACGCGCTCGGTGAGGATGTCCCGCCAGTCTTGGTCCCCCCATTCTAGGCTTATGAGCGCGGTGTCCCAGTCGTACTGGGTCCCGGCGCCTCCGGCTATGGTGACGGACATTGTGATGTGATGTTTGTGTGGGGGTGTGTAGGTACGGGGTAGGTACTGCTTAGATTGTGTGATAATTGTTATATCTAGACTTACCACTTAGCTTTTGCTTTTACTCGCCTTGGTGAATCTAAAATGGTCACCCAGGTGTCAGGAAATGGCAAGGCGTGGTGAAGGCCCAATTCAGGTGACTTGCTTGATATAGAGGCATCTAAGATAAACCGTGTAACAATATCTTTGTTAAGGGTTTCGGGCTGCTAATAGATGATAGACCCTGTTTATCCTATTGAAAACACATCGATTTTGAGGGGATTGTTCTGGTCGAGCCGAGTTTCTTTGATACCATTCCTTTCTTTTCGTCGAAGAATACATGGCCCCAAGCCATTATCTAGGTAATGAACTATTGAAGGGGTGTTCTGCCTGACTTTATGTTGTCCTTGGGAAAATCCCAAGAAGCGCGCATGGTAAGAGATGTAAGGGTTACACCGTGGTGTGCATATAAAGACAAGATAAGAATGTGCACCTTTGCCCCTTTACCAAGTGTGCCATTTCATTACCCTTTTCGACCAGGTAGTAGAGATGTTATCACGAGGCCACCATAATAAGATATCTCAAATTTTCATCTGGATGGGCATTTCTTTTAGTATGTATGTCATTCTAGTAATTGGTCGAAACTGTTTGTGGCTCTTCTACTATTGAACGCCATGTTCCGTCATCTCTATGCAACCCTTGTACTAGTTGAGATCTGCCTTTCCATGGAATACAACGTCACATCTCATGATGAGGTAATGAAGGTGCTGAACATTTTGTAAGAGCATTTCTTATTAGACTATCGATTGATACCATGTACGATCCCTTTCTATATGTTAACGTGAGGCTCTTAGGACAAGGAGGAGCTTGCCATATTATGCTACTATATAGGTATGACTCTTGACTATTCCTAGTGAGACAATCGGTACCTCATCGCCCACCGCTCCTCACGGAAGATATGGCAAGTTATATTCCTGGAAAAGACACGATCTTATCGTCCGGGGTTCGATAGGCAATTGAGTACGGTAGTGGCCGGGCGCTGACCGAGACCGGCAAAGTCGGTGGACGTATTTGAAAGACCATCGATATTTGCTTTTTGGTACGAATTAGTCTTATGCAGTGGCAGCCCAATATTAATACGTCACTTGAGGCATTCCCTTGGCCAGGCTAGAAAGTACTCTAAGGCCTTTGCCAGTAAAATCCTCTTAGATAAGACTAACAGATACTTTCCAAGCTGTTCGTTCTTGAAGTTGCAAGGTTTTATAAATCGTGACCATAGACACTTATTAGATCATTGAACAAGCTAGGTGTTGTCACTGTGTCAAAATACTAGTCTCCTAATCCCTGTCTGCGACTGCGAACAGCTCAACCGGTCTGATGCTAATAGCAGCCAGACCCTAGAGCTTAGGGTTTAGAATATAAGTGTCTTCGGAGCATAGACTCGTTATCGCAAAAATCGTCACTGGGGCAGATAATAAATCGATCCTTGAGTCGGTCTAGCTGCCTAGGTAGTTATGCTGTTGGTGCAACATCATGCAAGGTACCCCGAGGGAGAGGAGCGGTGTTCCTGGGCTCGAAGCTGACAATATACGGTAGACTGACGTGAGCAGCAGTGGATTGTTCAACAGGCATTGCCGTGTATGGCAATGGAGAAAATGCGAATGGCTCGCCTCTAGAACGTTTATGTCGCATTTGCTGAGATCATGAAACCGTAATGTATGCAGCTAATGAATCCTTCAAGCTGTCGATACCCCAAAAGCTACAGAGAGCACGTGTCTCCCTTGCAATAAAGGACTGGTACCGTAAGATTGCTATCGGAGTGGCCGTGCCACTGAGTCGATTTTGGATATCGTCGATCTGCAGCTGTTAAGGGAGTTTCGCAAGAGGCTCCTTTGTGCTAACTAATCATGGGAATATGTTTTGGCAACATATTATCACATCAAAACGTGTATATAACGAGTTATGGAGGTACTGACTTTTCGGCCTGGCTCTGTTGCACGTACGAAGAAGACGAAAAAAGTGTGGCTGATTGTCACGATGGTGGATACTGGACGGGGGGGATTCTCAAGGCTCACAATCTGAACTCCATCGAATGAGGCTGAGTTTGACTAAGCCTCTTTGCGCATCAATTATAAAAGTACCTATGTATTTTTTTTTTTAAATAGCGGGAAGCAATTGAAGCGGTCGGGATGGCGGGGCTTGGAGGGGCTTGGAAGCTTCAAGGTTGGAGGGGTAAGGTTGGCGCAAACGCAAACAACGTGGACCAAGTGGGTAGGATATGGATGGAGGTAGGTACAGTAGAGCGCTATTCAGATCGGGCACCAATATTTACTGTAGGTACGATATTTATTTTCTTAGCGTCGCATACTTATCTTCGGTACATGAGCGCGTAGTAAATTGAAGTATATTGTGTTAGTCCGGCATTGTTACTTCTTTTAATGGATGTACCTTTGTGCATACATAGCGGCAGGCGCAGTCAATATCGTCGTACCTGCTGTACCCGGAAGCATACGCGAAATTCAATGTTTGAATCTCCAACTAAAACTGGCAACAAAACTCCCAAACTGCCAAACTGCATACCACCTTTCGTTTCAACGCGCTGGAAGGGCCGAATCTTTACGCTCTGCGATACTCGTTACTTATGACTTTTTTTTCTGAGTTATGACCTTTATCACAAAGAAAGTTTTCAAGATTTTAACGGACGAATAAGGACACGGCTTAGCCATTGCCCAATGCCCCGGATATCTAATAAAGATTATGGATCTTGACCCTGTCAAAGAACCGGCATAGAAGGCATTTGTAGGACTTGAATGCGCGGGATTGATTCCTAAGACTTCCAAGCATCCAATCCGAACTTCACACTTATCACCCAGATACTATACTAGCTCTTACAACGTTGCTATCTACTAGGTGCATTGTGAGGTTTCTAACGACTTATTACACCGACGGGTCACAAAATCCCACTTGAAATAATATAAACGGTTGCCAACGACTTTTCGAAGCAACGTTTGTCTGAAAAGCAATTTACAACTGGGCAATCTTTCTGACAATTTCAGTCCGCGGCGCAGCATAACACAGCATAGTACAGTCAAGAGCAGGAAACGCCAAGCCATTTCCTCACCCCGGTCTAGCTCTCCGCCATATAGATGCCACTATCACCATTTGGCGATTGCGTAAAACGTTCGCCGTCCATTTTTCTTAGTCGTCGGGCTCCGTCTCCTCGCAAAAGACTTGGGACTTCACGTGGCCTGGAATCGCCACAGCTGTAAAAGCGAGCACTCCCTTCTCCAAGGATCGTTGATACCGACATTGGTACGCGGACTGTCCCTCCTCTTTAAGTACCTATCGGCCGACTTAGCAAGTTGAGGCGCTTACTCGCATAAAACCTCCGACAGGTTAACGAACTATTGGATTAGAGAGCACCTCCAACTTCGTTGTCCATCTCCGTAAAACAAAGAGCCTAATCTACATACGTAGTAGATGTATATACATAGGCTCGGATATATCTCCCAGAATATGACGACAAGAAGGGAGTAATAGAGCTGGGGATTTATCGAATTAAATATCTACCGCATATCATTGCCACACAATTTGTCGATTTTCGAGATTGAAGACGAAAAAGTGCTCCACACCTCGCATTGTCTCACCGTTGCATCGTCTCGTTCGCTGCACCCACTCTGGGCACCTTACCTACAGGTTCCCCTCCTTTCAAATCTAGGACTTTCGACCCTCACTTCGAATACCTAGACTGACAGACTCCCTTCAGCCTTATTATCCTGGGAATTCCTACCTTGGCCTACCTCGGCCAACCTTGCCCATCAACTGGTACATACTGCGCGCATACCACATACCGCACAATACCTCAACTTATTACACTGCCAGCCCGTTCTAGCGCCGTCAGCTCCATCAGCCACAGTGGACTCGAATACCTAGAGCGGACAAGGAATAGGCTGGTCGAACGGAACTAACTCTGATTGATCCTACTTGACGGTACCGTCCCACCACCTGCTATTTTCTCACACTACTGGGCCCCCAACTCAAAGCCGTCCCGCCCTCTCTTTATTAATCCAAGTCCTTTAGGTCCTAGGCCTGAGTTGGAGGAACTTCGCACAGCACTGCAGAAAACCTACATACGACCACGCCCAGGACTTTGTTTCTTGACAGGATTGTACTTGTACAATAACAAGTACCCACGCATTGCCTTCAGCTGTACGTTGGCCTACCTCACCTAGGACCCCCGTTGTAACCGCGAAAGCCCACGCCTTGCTCGGCTATTACTGAGGTTAGGCCAAGGGACGGACTGGGATAAGGGACTGCTTTCTACCTTCAGGGCTATCCCATACACCTGGAAGACCTAGCGGCAACCTGGGTTAGCTGGATAACTGGATAACTGAAGGAAGGCGAACCGGTTCCCGCTCTCACGTCGCTCTTACACATCGTGTGGGAAACGATCCGACACCATCCTAACCGCCTCGTTTCCCGTCTTCTTAGGATTGTCAGCGCAGCAACCTTAGTTCCCTTGCTCAGCCCAGCCTGCCTTATCATAACCCGGCCTAGCAATTAGGCGTAGTGAATCCCACCTCAATTCAGATCACACCTTGGGAAAAGTCCTTCCCATCCATATTTGTGATCCTCTTTTTTTCCCTTCCCTTTTCCTCTTTTTCTTCTTTTTTTTTCCCCTTCTCGAATTCTAACTTCCTTATGAATTCATTAAATTTGAATTCCCGCTTCAAGCTAGGACTAGGGAAACGGAAATCCACCGCCAGCATCCCCTCTAGCTCGCCTCCTGACATACCGCGGCCTGCTACGTCGACCCCGACCCCTCCAGCTCAAGCTCAAATACCGCAGCAGTTCCCACCGGCCCAAACTCTACCCTACCCCCATCCCGGTTCCGCCCCCTCCATAGCAGCTTCGTCTTCCCAGACGAGCCTCCCGATAATGAACCACCCCGGTGCTGGACCTCGTCCACCTAGTTATACACCAAATTTTCAACCTCAACAACCTGTCGGTCGGACAAGTCCTCTAACCCAAGGCCCTACTCGCACTCCTCCATCCCAAATGGTCGGTGGTCCTCCTCCCATCAATACCGGCGCTCCTGTGTCAGGTTATCCTCCTCAGATGCACATTCAGCCGGGCGCGCAACCTCCTCCAGGTGTTCCTGGTGGCCCTCCTGGATACGCTGGCTATCCGCCGCCTGCTCCTGCTCCCCAGCCGACAAATACCATGCAGTCATACGGTCGACCAGCCGCCGAAGTCGAAGGGAATAGTCGAAGTAAGGCTCAGTTGATCGTCGGAATTGACTTTGTACGTTCCCCTCCCAAGACTATTTTAGATGGTCATGCCCGTATGCGTCAGTGCACTTTGGCTAACTATGCGAAACGTAGGGCACAACCTTCTCCGGTGTCGCATTTGCATTTGCGACCAACAACGAAGCGAAAGAGGACATCATCACAGAATGGCCCGGTGCTGGATCATACACAAAACAAAAGGTAGAGAACTAGGAGGCTGTTATATGATTGATTATATGGTTCCGGTAAACTAACCTCGGACAGATTCCGACTGTGCTATACTATGATCAATATCAGAAAGTCGTCGGATGGGGCCCGGATATCGCTGATGCTCTAGCGCCGACAGGATACCCGAAGCCTGGTGTTCAGAAGGTGGAATGGTTCAAGCTGCAGCTTATGCTGTCAGGCAACACCTATATCGACCCCATCAACCTACCCCCTCTACCCCCAGGAAAGTCGGAGATCGACGTAGCCGCCGATTATCTATTCAAGCTGCGACAAGCTATGCGAACAGCGTTGCAGAAGACGCTGGGTGAGGTGTTCAACCGAGAAGAGCGAAATATTCGTTACTACCTAACTGTGCCGGCTATTTGGAACGACGCGGGCAAGGCTGCTACGAGAGCCGCCGCTATCCAGGCCGGTTTCCTTAGGGATGAGAATGACAACAGGTTGACGCTTGTCAGCGAACCTGAAGCTGCATCGCTTTTCTGTGCTAAGACTGGCCTGCTTAACCTAAAAGTCCATGATGCCATCTTGATTGTTGACTGTGGTGGTGGTACCGTCGACTTGATCGCTTATGAAGTCGAAGATGAAAACCCGTTCACCGTCGCAGAATGCACGGCCGGTTCTGGTGATTCGTGCGGCTCTACGGCCCTTAACAGAAATTTTAGTAATATTCTTCGAACTAAAATTCGCAAGATGAAGCTACCCGACGGATCGAAGACTGCTGGTCGTGTATATGCCAAATGTATTATGGACTTCGAGAACCGAATCAAGGCTGATTTCAGAAACAATGGTCAGAAGTGGGCTGTCGACGTTGGTATTGAGGCTGAATTCCCCGAAGCCGGCATTGAGGAAGGTTACATGACATTTACAAATGAGGAAATCCTTCAATGTTTCGAGCCCGTCGTCAACCGAATTCTGGAACTCGTACGAAACCAGATTATCGCGATTCAAGCCCAGAACCGGACGTTGCAAAATATCCTAGTAGTCGGTGGTTTTGGTGCATCCGAATACCTCTTCCAGCAGATCAAACTCCACGTTCCTCCTCAGTTCCAGTCTAAGGTTGTGCGGCCTATGGACTCCGTTGCCGCCATTGTGAAGGGTGCCGTCACTGCTGGCATTACTGAGCGTGTCATTACGCATCGTGTAGCCCGTCGCCACTACTTAATGGCCACTTTGCAGCCATTTAAGGAAGGCTACCACCCCGAGGCGTACCGTGTACCGTCGCTGGATGGCAAGGACCGATGCAAGTTTACACGGCAAATTTTCGTACAAAAAGGCCAGAAGGTCAAGATTGGCGAGCCGGTGAAAGTCTCATTTTTCCGACAGGTGGCCCCTGGTGCTACTCTCATGTACGAAGACATCTTGTACGCCTGTGACGATGATGTCTGTCCAGAGTACACTAAAGATCCTCGTAAGTTGTCCAGTTCCGTTCAAGTATTTCCCCGGAGCTAACACAATTTGTAGGTATAAAGGAAGTAGTCACTCTGACATCCGATCTATCACGCAAGAACCTAGAGAAGGATTTTGAGCGTATGGACACGCCTCAGGGTACCTTCTACCGAGTGTATTTCGACATTTACCTCACTCTGGATGGTTCCGAATTCAGCGCCGAACTAGTCTGCCAGGGAGAGGTTATGGGCCGCTGCAGATCTAGATTCAGGTAGAATGGTCGTGATGGGGGAGGTGAATGTCATTTATGGTTGGGGTCTTTTTAAACTAACGTCTTCGTCTACTTCGATGCTTTTAATAGCCTTCAAATGATACCTCGTTATAAAAGAGCAACAACGTACTCGAATTAATTGGCGATCCAGTAATGCGAGGGAGGAAATATTCTTTTTCTTCTGTTGATTGGACCTGCAGAAGCTTCCCTTCTACAGAATTGAATTGGCGAGAAAGGTTTAATTATAGCGAAATCGATGTCATTCAATAGGTTGACGGATGGATTGAGGGTCGCATGAATGGAATTTTGATATGTCTTCTGCTATCAGTAGACGAGTAGACAATTTAACAATTCAGTAAAATTCTGGCTATGATAGCTTGATTCTTGTTCTCTTATTTCGTGATCTACCAAGTATATAGAATTATAATTCCTATAGCCTTAGCGATTCTAGGGCATCATCGATGCACTTAGTTAGATAGCTAGACAACAATTTTACTACCTATGTAGACATTTCTTGCTTAAATTCGGGTGAGTGGTAGATGATACATTTTCAGCGAAACCATGGGACAGATCATATCATTTATTACACGGCCGTAAGGGGAACAAGATGTAGGCGCGATGACATCGATGGTGATGTAGTACAAGCTTGGACCACCTGGAAGTGGCTTAAACTTGGAGAAGGTAGGAGAGGGCGGACAGGGGTGAGTTACCCCTGACTATTCCGGCAAAAACCTGGTAGCCAGTTGCAACTGCGTCATCGCTCATTCCTTCTTCAGTCCATGGACGTTACACGTGCTGAAGGGCGATCTCCCTCTGTCTTCTAAGTCAAAATAGGTACTACCTACTTAATAGATCTACTTGATATGGCCTCCTTCATTATCGTCCAACCTCCTTGAAGGTGTATGTACCTTTCCTACCACTTCTTCGCATCATTTTTAGGATATATCAACCTTTGTATATATTGTATATTATCCAATCAACACCTATTCCTCATCTCCGCAAATCCTGTTCCTGTTTAACCCTGAACTTCTCATCCGTTGGTAACCAATATCAAGGGGAGATCTTCGCGGGGAATGCTTGATTGGCCCCGGCGATCTACTACCTTGATATTGTACGTCACCGGTTACCGGGGTCTCTTCGTCGAAATCAATATATTCGAATTGATTTCTTCCAGAGCCAAGTCTCAATTCGCTAAGGTATCAGTCAGCTATTCATTTATCAAATCCAACTCTCAAGAAAAGGTCGAAGTTGGTATTTACAACGATACAATTACGGACTATAATTTTCGACAAGGCTCTTGGATCCTTACGGCTGTTGTCAGATGATGACCTACCTACTTACTATTCTCCTCTACAAAGACACATTATCTGTGGCCCACTAACTGATCTATCTGTACTGGCGCATCAACATAGCCACAAGCATCCGGAATAGATGACCAACTCTGCGCAAACACGAAAGCACGGTGCCATGCCTCGATGGCCATGGGGTCGTGATCATCAGCGTGATCCTCCAAGGGCCACGTCGTCACTCGTTGCTGTCCTCTTTTTATCGTCGCTTGTCCCACAAATAGGTGCTGTTGTGTACCCGAGCAACCATGAGCGGTACAAATTTGACTACCTGGGTCCCAACAGACAGTATCTGGGGATAAGCCGTCCTTTTACCAAGCGTGACAATGCAATTCCGCTAATCGTTACCAACAACTGTGGAGATACGCTATGGCCTGGAATTAGGACTCAGCATGGCGATCCTCCCGACTCTCACGGTTTCGAGCTTGCACCTGGCGAGACCAAATACCAGACTGTTGGTCCGACGTGGCAAGGCAGGATCTGGGGTCGTACGAACTGCACCACCAGCGGGGATACGGCGACGTGTAAAACTGGAGACTGTTTTGGTAAACTAGATTGCGAGTACGGTGTAAGTCAAACAAGAAGGAAAAGAAAAGAACGCTGTTTTGATAACTAATGATGAGATAGGGTGCTGTTCCCGTCACCCTTGCCGAATTCAACCTTGCAGGCGGTGTCACAGGTACACAAACCTTCTACGACATTTCACTTGTCGATGGCTATAATCTGCCTATAGGGGTAGTATATCACCCAGCAGATAACACGACATATATTCCACCAAATCTCGTGAACCCCTCATGTATTGGAACGCCCGGGTATCTCGCTGCCTTTAGTAAGACTGGGCTCACTTACACTAACTCAGCCTATCCTATGCCGTACGAGGATATACAGTCCAACGCGGATCTCTCCAACTGGTGTCCCTGGGACCTCCAGGCCTTCCCGCCGGAGAAGCCCGGCGACGGCGTATACCCGTACCCGGACGACAACCTAGAGCGTCCGGTTTTCGACCCGTGCAAGAGCGCATGCGCGGCAGACAACGACCCGCAGGACTGCTGCACGGGCGACTACGACGACCCGTGGGTGTGCGAGCCGAGCCAGTACTCGTACAACGCCAAGGCTATGTGCCCCGACGCGTACAGCTACGCTTTCGACGACCAGACCTCGACGTTTATCATCCCGAGCGGGGGCGGGTGGGAAGTCGTATTCTGCCCGGCGGGGCGCAGCACCAACATCCTGGCCACCTTCACAGACGAGCTGCATTCCGTCGCGGCTAGCGGCCAGGTGACGAATGAGACCAGGCTTAAGGCTATGAATATAACGTATATCGAGTCTAAACAGAAGAGCGCCGCGGCGGCTGGGCTGAGGGTGTCTAGGGCCGGGATGGGGGTTTTGCTTTTTGCTGGTTTGGTGGTTGGGGTTGTGGTGTTGTGATTACCTTGGCCCTTTCAAGGGCATATCCGTTTTCGAAAGCCCTTGGACACGACGGGAAGGCTTGACAAATAGGCTATGACTTGGCGTTCAACGGTACGATAGGAAGATTTTCATCAAGGTCATGTTATACCCACTAGAAAGGACTGATGAGAAGATGGCGATGAGTCATGAATAAGGAAATTGGAATGGTTCGGAAGATGAGCGATCCGCTGGACTGGAGTGTAGACCAAGCCGGGCTGCTCTACGCTGAGGAGAGGGAAATCCTGGGTTACTGGTGACCTAGAACTCGAGTATACACATACAACCTTCGAACATACATGTATTCCTAGGTAGATCATTGATACCCCCTTTTCCTAACAGATACTGATGGTTTGGGTTGACTTCATGTGACTGTGATATGTTAAGCGAGTTTTGGAAACTTATGACGCTAATGTGCATGATAGAAGGTTGTGTATCTCAAAATTTTCAGCATTGCCGAGTAAGTATGCCTAGGCAGGCAACTTCTATAAGTTTCATGAGACCCAGAAAGATGGTTTGTTCACTGCAAGCTTCTTTGGAGAAAGTGAAGTGACTCATTTCCAAGATACAATATCAAAGCCAAGTCTTAGTGCAAAGACCCAATATATGAGAAAACAAAACTCCTTATAGTTGCTTGGTTTCGATAGATGGTTGCTAACACATGAAGCTTTATACAACTAGACGTCACGGGTTGTTGAAGATATTTTTGTTTGGTTGTTAAGCTTCTCTTTAACTTAAAGTTACAGTTACGTTATCAAGCTGTCTGCGTAACAAGCACGGACCATATTAAATGGCGAACGTGATTGGCCCATTGATTAGCTAATGTCCTATAGTGCGCTTCTATTAATAGTTGGAATTGCGCAAGTGATGATTCCGGATATCCACCCTTGTCATTTATTTACATTGACCAGAACCCCAGTCGGTAAAGTGCATTGCGGATTCGCGGATTCGAGACCCATACAGACCTGCAGACCGCAGACCCGATGCAATCTTGATGCAACCTCGAGCCAACAAACAACGACAGCTCCCCTTATCCGCGTCTCGTCGGGTTACCGACGAACGCTTAAGCTTCTCGATTCTCGCGAAGCCAGCGTCACCAACGTCGCTAGCGTCACCTACATCCATAGAGAGGCCGCAGTCATCAGGATGTGTATAAGAGATGCCTATCATTGAAAGCACTAGAGCTGTGACGCGCTGGACCACTCGCATAATCCCGGTAATTCTCGTTGGCGCCGTTAGCTATGCTACCTTTGCCATTGTCGGCAGGGTCTGTTGTGGGTTTATAGTCTAGCCTCTCGGGTTATTTCGAGAATTCGCTAACCAATCCGCCATCTGTTTAGCTAGCTATCTCATCAACAAGCGATCCGAGCTCGGGCCAGCCATTGTTATCCTAGTTCTATACTTCCTACTTTTCCTGTTGATGGTAGGCACCTATCTACGAACTGTCGCGACTGTCATCCTCGATCCCGGAATTGTACCACTCGGACCGCTAGCGATAGAGCGAAGGAAGAGAGCAAAGGATAACAGAAGGCAAGGAATTCAGGGACACGACCTCGAGAGCCGACCCTACTATGGAGGCATCGATTTCGACCCGGACAGTCCGGGCTTAGAACAGTTCTATACTAAGGACGTCTTTGTTTGTGAAAATGACGGTAGACCGAAATGGTGCTCTCAATGTTGCAACTGGAAGCCAGACCGTGCCCATCACAGTAGCGAGATCGATCGATGCGTCCTTCGCATGGACCACTACTGTCCGTGGGTCGGTGGCATGATAGGAGAGAACTGTGAGTTACAATTAATAGTACCTCTCACAAAGTTAGGGGTATGCTGACAGCCTATAGCTTTCAAGTTCTTCGTACAGTTCACTACTTATACTGCTTGCTACTGTGCCGTCGTTCTTGGTGCCGCAGCGTCGAGTATCCGCAAGGAGATTAAGGAGGGATCTCCGTTGGATCCTCATTTTATAGCGGCCACCGTGCTGGCCGCATTCTTTGGGCTCTTCACTTTCCTAATGACTGTGACATCGGTGCGATACATCATTCTCAACATGACGAATGTTGATATGCTTGGCTCTCGCACGAAGGTGCACCAATTGGCTGTTCGCGTGCCCCGCGGCACCGAATCAACGGACAAATTCACTGTAGTGACATATCCGCTTCCAAAACCGGAAGAGGTGACGAACGGCCGGTCTAATGACACGGCACGGCCTAGAGCGGTTGAAAGCAGGGGCGTGAGTCCGCAGCCGAACCGTGTCAGCCCGTCATCCCGCGATGATTTAGCAACCCGAACTTTCGCGATACTTAAGACGGAGCCCGGGGAAAATCCGTGGAATATGGGGGCGTGGAAAAACTGGCAGAGCGTGATGGGCACCAACGTTCTCGACTGGATTCTACCGTTTCGAAGGTCACCCTGCGTCAACCACGAGAGCCACGAGAGCTTCTACCCTATGGGCAAGGTCCTAGCAGACGTGCTCGCCAGATACAATCTTACCGATCTCGCATTTAAGAACGGCGCGGGGCTCGAGATGAAGGAGCTTAGAAGAGGAAATAGGTCTTAGATATGAGCGCAATTGATACCCCCCCAACTTTGGACATTGGAGTTCGAGGTTTCGACGGATTCGGCATCCCCATTTTTCTCTCTTGTGGATTTTACTTTCAACAATTGTACATCTATTTTAAAAGCGACAGTAATAGGGCGCGTGATAAAGTCTTATTCGAGGTACATACCTAGGAAATTAGTATTCAATGTTATATACTTAGTCTGGTCGGTGAGCGAGCCGATATATCTCAAGGTGTTGAGTTCTTAATTAGCCTATAAGGGGGTAAGGAGCCGAATATCGGAATTGGATTATCTCCAACTTCATTACTCTCCAACGTTTAAACGCCACATAAACTTTTAGCTGAACATATTCGATAGGTGGTCGTCTAGTCCTACTCGGGAAATATTAATCAAGAGGAAACGTATAAGAAGTTAGATTGGGATGATCAATAGGTATGTATAGGTATGTGATGATTGTTTGCCCATTTAACTGATATCTGATATCTGACAATACCATATGTCTCACCTAGGTGTGTGGCGGCGAACCAGATGCGATCGATGCTGTCAGACTTCAATTGTCTTTTTCCACTTTCCCAGCTTACACGACTCACCACCACATTTAGAAACAGATTATGCCTTATGCGTATTAAATATGCATTCTGTCAGATATCATGTGTTTAATTATAACACTGAACCATATTCCAACCAATCAAAGGTTGAATTCTAGAAACAACCTGATATCTTAAGGGAAAGAGCCCCCTATCGTACCTAATCCAAATTCGATGGTGGGACAAGGTTTAAGTCAGTCGGTCATATTCTGTACATGAATCCACCTTACCTTCAAACCTTATGTGGGTGTGGTGAGATATATGAATAACTGTAATACTATACCTCCCTAGGGCATCCTCGTACCAAGCAATATCGATGAGCTAAATAATAAGGCACAGCTAGTTAGCCAACGAGCAAGGTAAACCTTTACTCCTTTCTCTCTTCTTTCACTTTGATCATTGGAACATCTGTTTAAACAACCGGTTGAAATTCTCTTGAATTTAAAACTTGAAACCTCGAGGTTTATAATAGAAAGAGTGTGATGTCTATATCGAAAAGGTGAGATAAATCAAGTTTGAAGAAGCCCATATTCCCACAACCCGAATGCAAAAGCAATGATAGAACAAGAAGGAGTAGAGAAATCTTATGATAACCACATGAACGAACGATATCAATCTTGAATCCCAGCCGACCCAACAACTAATCCATGCTCTCTAGGTCCATTCATCTTACACGACGCCATTATGTATGTATCTCTCGAATCTTCGAGGCGTCGAACGCTACGTTGACTAATCTTATTTCTTGCAGTCATCACATACTTTATGGCCACACCCCTTGCACCAAGCTTCATCCGGATTATCGGTGTACTCGAACTTGTCGATCTTTTCACAATCACAGCATTTGATTTCGTCCGTCTCATTGATATCATTTTCAGGGGGAACAGCGGCGTCGTCGCTAGAATACGGAGAGTTTTCGTCGCACCTAAAATCTATTAGACAAACCAAGTTAACGTTTCCCATGGAACACCTTACATTGTAATGGAGCAATACAGGGTATTGTCGTGGTTCGAGTAAGTGTTGGAGCTCGAAGAAAACAGTCTGAGAGTGCTGATAATGTTCGTATTGTTGCTGAGAACTAATGGAGGAGTGAATGCTCTAGGGACTCTGGTTTACTCTCCAGCTCAGTCTCATCTCGCGAGGAATCGACAGGATCCTTATAGGGAGGAAAATCATGGCCATGATACTACAAGTTCTGTAGTAGAGGAGCCGCATAGTCAGATCACACCGAATATTCGGCAGAAAAACCTCAAAGACGAGCAATTCTGTGTCTTAGTAGATCTGCAGAGCCTCCTCAACCTGCACGGAATCTTCTCTCTTTTCGACACCCCCTGGAAACGTACGTCTTCTCGGTGACGACTGAGGCGATGATAGGATCGTTGTATCACCTGGTATACTCAGCAGAACAGAGAAATAAGAGATACGATGGATGGCTGTGCTACGATCGGTCATTCCTAGAGCAGAAAGATATCACCGCTATGGTCATCATGGGGTTAGGTAGAAGAAAGGGGTAGGCCGGTCTACGACGCCCAGGAGTATTCCCGAGCAAGCCTCCGATTTCGAAGCTGGTTTTTCACCAATAGGACTACGGATAAATCTTAGATTGAGTAGGTATCATGACGAAGGAATTCGATAAAGAAGGGCTCAAAGCACAGGCGAAACCGAGCGGCACATTTCACAGGATATTGTTCGTCAGAGTCGACTTCATGCAAGAAACACGATCGATGAATGGATACCGACAGCTTGGGTCTATAGAGCACAGCATGGGAATGACCTAAGCTCCTGAGCTCACGTCTGATTAAAGAGGCAAGTGTAACAGACCGGGAGCCTTCACCCTAAGCTGTTTTGAGGATCAGCCTGCATGACGATCATCTCGCTCGCCCTCCTAGAGGAATGTGAGATCTAGAGAGATGCGTCGAGAACTCACCGCTCTCGGAACTACGTTAGCGTTCCATCGATGTATGAAAGAGTGAGGACGCAAGTTGAGCCGCATGTGTGAGAGATCCCGTGAACAACAAACAAGGTTATGGTCCTAATTTGGATTGCACTTTTCCGATTGCGGTCACCTTATCAATATCACTGACCAGATGCTCTTAACAGACCGTCGATGAATACTTCTCCCGGACGGGCGAAATATAATTGCTGAAGCAAACCCTGCGCCACCTGTACCGCCCATGGCCGCTCTAGTAGTGACCTCAGATATCCTACGTTCCTTGGTCAACGATTACCAGAAACCCACGATAGGATCCCCAGTGCTACCGAATCAGAGCTGTTTGTGGCCGAAATGTGCTGAAATGGGCACAAACAACATCTGACACCGGAGCCTTGCAACGGGTGCATTCTCCCGTTGCTTGCCCTTGGACTACCATGAAGTAACGCAGCTCTTAGTGAGGCGGGAGAGTAATCTCTGAAGATGCTCGTAATGGTGACCCGATCCGCCTGCCGAGACTGAGCGGTTGGACTGCTCGGTGTCGTAGCGTTCTTGAACCTCTAGGTCCGATATCCCATTCGGCCCCCAAATCGGTCATCTAGCCATGTAAATGGCGGAATCTTGTTTATGTCACACGAATGAACCCTATGTAGTAAGACGGTAGCCCCATGTAAATTTGTTCTGCGGGAGAGGGTCCAATCTGGAAAGTCCCAGCAGCTGCGAGAATGGTATGACGCCTGCTCGTCATCGAGCCTTACAGGATACGACCCACGGTACCTCACCCAGAGCCCTGATGCCGGGTAACGGTCTCTGCGCTAATTGTACGGATAGTAGGGAGACAAATGTCACATGATAAATCTTACAGGTGTGTAATTGCATGGGTGACGACGGGTGGATTAAATCTGATAAATTATACCACCGGTATTCGACCGGCAGAGACCCGAAGAGGCGAGATTCAGGAGACCTCCTATCTGGCCTCCATGCAGTCCAGTGCTGTACTTTCCCGCAGATCCTTTGTAGAAGTAATTTGAGCTGGGGCCCTCGCTACAAAGTATCAAACGGATACCAATCCACATTAGAAGGGTACCCATAAAGGGACGAGAACATCGACCTACTATGACCCTGGACGGAGACGGTTGCAATAGACAGGGTCCATCAACGAGAGAATGGCGGAGATCCTACTTCGGTGATCATCGAAGGGATTTCCCCCCTTAGCTAATATGATGGTCTAATTTGCGAATCTTGCTCGATTACTTCTCGCAACCGGAGAATTCTTCTAGAGCTATATGCTGTATGACCTGGAGTACCTCATATCGTCCATGCCCGGGCCATTCAGAGTTTCACGGCCACCCTCCTTAACCAGCATACGTTCCTTTCTCATCAGCCACCATGCAAAAGAAGATCGATATCGTCCGCTCTATTACGTACGGTCCCCCAAGATGGATAGATTTGACGACATGGAGTATCTAGAATTGCTCTTTTAAGTGCCGGTAGGCGTAACTTGGCGACTCAGCTTCTCAGCTCGGTCTATTATGCCCGAGGAGTCGGAGAAAACCGAAGCATCCTGCGATGCTGCAACCTTGTTTTTCTGTGACAGTAGTTCGCAGCCTCTTAACTTATACCGCCATGGCTTGAACAGGTCGCGAACCACGGCGCAGGAGGCTTGCAGTCCAGAGTGGATTCGGAGGCTTAGTCATAGATCTAGAACGTTTCCATCAGCGCCAGACCGTCGTGGAAAGGAATCACGGGGAAAATCGCATCCCCTCCGTCTTGAACGTACACCACCAAGATCATGGTACGACGTGAGCCCCTTTTTTTGTCCAACAATGTGATGGGGTGAAGTGGAACACAAAGTTTGGAATACGCACAATATCATCAGGAGATGGGATAGAAGAGCCGGTGGGGGACATAAGTTGTAATGCGAGTTCCTGCTTGAAGTGCAAAGTTGAGCTATTCAATAGATGTACAACTCAATGTGCGCTGGGCGAGTTGCTGGAAGAGGACATGGCATTTACTCAATTCATCTCGTTCGACGAATTTGCGCAACGAAACCTACTTACTACACAATGACACGACACTCCCAGTACCACATGAAGTTGAATCTGACTTTTTTTTTTTTTTTTTGGAAAGAGATGCTCGAGCTGGGATTATTTTATAATATTTTCCTAATCAATAAATACGATGAGTTGAGTATGAATACCTAGGTATATATATATATATCATGTTTGGTAACCCGTAGCATGAGTTTGGGGTTTTGTTGGAGAGGTGGCGATAACCCATATTTAGGATGCACGGGATCTTACTTAATGATTAAACCAATAAAAACGCCCAATTCGTTCGGAAACGCTGAATATCGGACATCATTTGAATTGCAGAGATTCAATTCGCTACTTCCCTGTAACCACGAGACATTGGTATATGAGGATTTAGGAACGTGGAAAGGACGAACGCAAGGGGGAAAAAGGATAAGAAAGAAAGAGTCAT